TCAGAAATCCAGAAAGATTTGCACTTTGATTATGAGTTTAGGAGACTTAAATTACAAGGGAGGGTGGGGTTTTTTTTGGTACTTGTCTTTAATCAAAGTGTTTCTTTGAAACTTTGTGTACTGCAAAGAGATCAGTTGCTTTAGAAGAAGGTAGATCACATCCTTTATCTTTACCCATGGCAGGGGCTGTTTTCTTTTTGTCAGTTTGGCTCTTTCCTGATGAACCTAGTGGTAAACGGGTTAATGTAAAGGTGTAATACTAATGCTGAAATGTTTCCTCATCTCTCCCAAGTTATACATGTAAATGAGAGATTGCAAAAATCTAGACTCTGTGTAGTGACAAGGACCAACGCCAACCCTTGAACAAAGCCTTAATAATTATTAGGACACGGTTAGAGTGATTTCTTCTTTGCCTCTAATGAGGATTGTGAGGTCTTTCAGGGTCCTTTTTTACTGTCTGTGCAGGGTGTTCAGCCAACAGTGTGCACACATAGCCCAAATAATGAGGTAGCTCATCTGTATACACAAAACCATTGGCGTTTTCAAATTTTTTTGAAACCAGCCCTAAACTGAGACATTGAGCGTGGCAGCCTGTGCAGGAGGTTTGGATCTACATTTAAACACCATATTGGGAAGAAACAAGAGGCAAGAATCCCCAAATCCAGCCAGGAAAAAACATAATTAAATATATAACAACAGACACTGATTCTGTTTTAACATCTGTCTCTTGTTCCCTCTTTCATCTTCATTAGAGCTGGGGAAACTTGCCATGGTTGACCTTAGAGACCGGAGGACTGTAGAAGTTTATTCCAAACTCCAGCACCAGGCTAGATCCCCTGCAAGTTTTGTACCATCTGCATGATCAATACATGAAGCCTCCATAATGAAACACTAGATTTGTCAGGTTTTATCTCAAGAAACCCGGGAACCAGAGTGCAATCTCTGTCTCCCCACTGGAACTGCAGATAATGCCTCAAGCTGTGTCCTACTGCCTCTCTTCAACATGAGGTTTGATGGCATCTCATCTTTCTTAGTGGGGTAGGCCTTGTGGCCACATCGCTATGTGTCCTGGTTATTTCATTTGGTCAAGTCTGATTCTCTCTTTCCTGCAACATGAAAATGGATATAACGTTTGTTCTGGCCTTCCTCATGTTGATAGTCAGCACATAGCATCAGGTAAAAGATGTAGTAGAAGTTAAAATTATTAATGTTTATGGTTTTTGGTTGGATTTTTTTTTCATTTTAACCTAAATTAATCATCTGGGCATTGTTTTGAAAGTGATTCCCATATTCCCGGAGATACGCAGTGCACATGCTAGGGGTGTCCATGTGTGATGTGGACACCCAGCTTACTTAGCTCCTTCCCCAAGCGCTGGGCTTTCCCCACAGCCCTTGGTGAACCCAGGCAGAGCTGCTGCTTGGGAACCGAGCGGGCACCAAGAGATGGAGCCACACGTGCCTTGCCGGCCGTCCTGGTGGGCATCCGTGCAGAAAATGAAGCTGCAGACTCTTCGCTGGTTTTTGCCCAGCTTTGAGTCCCTTGGCAGGGCTAATGCTACTCTGGATCGCAAGCGTGACACTTGAGCTCTTCCCAGGGTTAAGTGCTTTTCATGTAACTGCACTTGGCTACTCCTTCTTCGACATTTTCTTTGCAGGGAACCAAGATTGAAATCAGCAGGGGAAAAAGGCTCCTTGTACTGGTGTTTGGGACAGTGTGTCCAGCTCCATGTGCCAGTGCCAGCTGCAATACAGGAGCAGTCCTCTTCCACTAATGAGAAATTCCTCCTACCCTCTCTTCTGATCAGAAAATTTTGTCTTTAATTTCTTTAAGACAGAGACCTAATTCTGCTTTTACTGCTTGTGGTTTCAACTCTGCCTCCTGTGCACTGCTCAAAATTGTTGTAAAGAGGGCAAAGCTGGGGCTGCCATTAAAAAAAACCCCCAGAATAATAAAAGCTGGAACAAACAAATGGCAGCAGCGCTTTGTGAGTGCCCAGGACTGTTCAGAGCTGGATGCCAAGTCCTATCCCAGCAGGGTAGAGTGTGTTGGGATCAAGACCTGTTGGGATCAAGACCAGCTTTAGACAAGCAGACCACATGTCCACTATGAGTTTAGTGCTCAAACGGTCTCCCACGGCTGCCCTTGCTCCAGTTTTGCTCCTGGTGCAGCATTGACTTCTGTCAGCCATTGGGCAGCATCCAGGGAGCAGCATTCCCAATGGCATTGTGGTTGAGTTAACCCTACTTTGGAGGAGAAAAGCCGTATGGACATGAGCTCCGTATGGAAAGTAGCCATGGCCTTGGGTGCTGAGTTGCAGAGCATCCCTGGGAGGTGAACCCCAACCATGACATTTGCCCAGAGCAGGGAGATGCTATAGTGGGTGCAAACATGTAATGCAAATCCCATGTACCATAACACAGAGTCACCAGGTGAATAAATAGGAGCACAGGTCCCTCAACTCCCTGCGTGTACCTGGGAGGCTGTTGACACTGAATAAGCAAGAGGCTGCAAACTTGCCAGCTGCTCTTTCTGAGCCCTTGGATTAAGCCCTGGTTTGCAATGCATCATTTAAGAGGTTGCAAATATTTTCCGTGTGTTGAAAGAAAATTATAAACAGATTGAGCCTGGGTACAGTAGATCCACTAGGCTACATTTGACTGAGAAAAGCTTTTGATTAAAGAATGAGGCTTAAGGGGGATGGGTAGTGAGCTGACATGGAGGGAAATTTTGTCATTTTGTTGAAAAAAAATTTGTGGAAGTATACTCTCTGCAAACGTCGAAGGAGAGTCCTTGTGCAGGAAAGCACATGATGTAAATCAGTGTCTACTATCTCCTGAATGTAACAGAAGTATGAAGTTGCAAACCGGCACGCACTCCATTTTCATGGGCAAATGTGCTGTATTCAGTCATATTAATTACTGCGTGGGCTCAATTTTCAGTGCAATCGATCCACAGGAAACAAAAGGGCTGCAGGGGAAATTTAAAAAGACAGTCAGCTAATAGGAGCCAGGTTCAATAAGACTGCATCTGCCTTCAGTGAACGGTGAGGGAGAGGTGTGCCCATTCTGCCATGGCAAGGCATGTGATAGGGCGGGCAAAGGGTGCAGGGCTGAGAGGGGCTTAAAATAACACCTTGTGCATGTATAGATATGTGTGTGTGTATATATATATATGAGGAATACAACTCCTGTTGTGGGAAACGAGGAAAGAAAGGGTTTTAATCCAAGTTTTCTGGTGCGGTGCTCAGGGTGTCATCTCACAGCGGGTTGTTGTGCGATGGCACTTCTGCCGGTGCAGCCTCTCTGTGTGCCATACCTCCTTCCCGGCTGTGCCATGAATCCCTCTGGCCTCTCCACTTCAGGACGGTTCCAGGGCGTTTTCCTCGCACCGCGGCCAGCCCGGCACTGTTTCTCTAGTCCCTCTCTGCCAGCAGCAAGCAGCAAACCCCAGGCTATGGCCAGGGGTCTCCTGGGTGGAGCTCAGGCCCTGGGTGAACTTCACCTTTGCTGCAGAGTTTCGGTTTAATGCCAGTATTTTAGCAAGCTATTTAGTCTGTTTGCCTAGCACTTAATAGGGGGATTATCCAGTTTGTGCCAAGATTTTCTTCCAAGATTGCTTTTCAGTTTCAAAGTTGAATGCGTTCATTTTTAGTACTAGCCTTTGCTTCCATTCAGGCTCCAAACTTCCCTAGGAAGTGACTTCATGGCATTCTTCGAGCAGTTTATTGCTTGGAGTGGCTGTGGCTGAGTTACAGTGTTCATATAACGACAAGCTCCCGGTCCATATATATTTAATGACTGTAATCATTTATTATTTTCCCTTTATTAGGTTTGTTCTTAAAGAAAGTTTTATGGTGCTATTTATGATATGCTAAGTGGTGCAACTTGCTGAAAAAAACATGTAGCATACGTTTTTTAATAGGTCTTGCTTGTTAAAAGGGATATCTTTTATTTACCCTAGTAGGGCAGCTTTTTTGCTGACAGTTTTATTATTTCAATTACTCAGACATTTCTTTCCGCTTTTGTTTCCCCAGATACACCTCCGGGGAATTTTAATGTGCCCATTCTTTATTTAAGATTGGATTCAGAATATGTTATTTCTAGCTGGCCAGAGGAAAGCGTAATATAGCAGACTTTAAATAGTGGGATGTCAAGGTTTTATTTTCTTTTCTCTTTGAGTTGTGGAATCTTTTCCCCATCTGTGTCATCTAGTGATTAATTACACTGATAATCTGCATACCTTCATCAATTACTGTCTGCTGCCAGTGCCGGGCAGAGGCCGTGCTCTGCCTAAGGAGTTTGTGGCTGTGATAAATGAATATGCATGTATGAATAAAAGGTGGGGGAGACCCCTGATAGCAGTTAAAATTGCCAGAGACCCAGAGTCCTTTAATGAACTAACGCTCTATAGGTACTGGCAGTAAGTACCATATGCATTTCACTCACTGGTGGGCAAGGAGAATGGGACCCTTCCTTCAGGGCAAAACCCAAGCCTTGGTCAGTGGAGTGAAAAGTGAACGTCAAGGGCTCGTGCTAGGAGGGAGCCTGACAGCCTCAGAGGGCCAGCACCAGCAGGAAGAGCAGACTGAACTCACCTACACAACGCTGGCTAGGGTGGGATGGCGTGGAAGCTGGTGTCGGCCCCTCTGGCTCTTGCAGGGGTAGAGGTGTGGTTTCCCTCTGCCAGTGCCTTTGACCATGCTCTGGTGTGTGATGGATTTTGTTGTCCATTATAGCATGACTATTTCTGGTTCAGTTCTGTTGCTTCTTTTCTTTGCCCCTCACTACTTTTGTGGTCTCTCAGGCAGACACCAGCCCTTGGACTATGAAGAAACCAAACCCAAATATTTGTTGGGGCAGTGGATGAGCCCCCAGAGCTCCAGAGGGATGTGTGCTCTGGCTGCCTATGGCTAGTGCATGGCCTTGGCCATCCTTGAGCCAGGTAGAAGGCCCGTTACAAAGCATATCCTCACACTTCTGCATCCCTTTGTGCTTTCCAGAGTGTCTGGGGGAGAGCTTTTCGACCGCATCGTTGAGAAAGGGTTCTATACCGAGAAGGATGCCAGTACCCTGATCCGGCAGGTCCTGGATGCCGTCTACTACCTGCACCGAATGGGCATCGTGCACAGGGACCTCAAGGTACGTCCGCAGCGTGACTCGGTCCTCCGGGCAGTGCTACCGAAAGTTGAGTAATTATGTGTGTCTAACACATGAAAATCCAGCCTCCCCTCGGACTGGCTGTTTCAGGTTCTACCATAAGAGGGATGTTCTGAAAGCTCCATATCCTCCCATCAGAATTGGTTTTAATGAGGATTTTGCAATCAGTGCTTTTACAATGGGAGTTTTGCACGTATCATGTGGGGGAAAAGTCATTCATTAAGACCCAAAACATTACATTAAGGCAGGAAACTCATCTCATCTGGGATGTGTTTACTGCTGCAGAGTATCTTGCAGATTTGCTGTGCTGTGTTTACTTTGACTTAATAATAATTAGTAACAATAAATAGCGTGGAAAGTGGAATGTTTTCCTATCATGCTATTTGGACCAGTGTTTTTGAAGAAGGATTCTTCTGAGGAGCACTCTGTGGCAATGTGATTTTTAGATAATTTTCTTTTTGTCTAAACTGTGTTATTACATCAAAACTTCTCAGCTTTTTTGTCAAAAAATACCAACATATTGTCTCTGTATTTTTTCTGTCCTATACCTTAAACTGTCATTAAAATAAGCAGAAAGGCTTGGATTCCATGACGTGCTGCTGACCCTCCCTGTCTTTAGTATCTTAAAATAGCAGAAAGCATAAGAAAAAGATACAAATGTCAGAAGAAAACTGTGGTTTCAGTTCCTGAGCAAGTTACTTCTGTCAGCCTTTACTTCCAGAAATTAGGAATTCAGTAAATGAGACAACACCTCTGGTTGTATTTTGGAGGGAAACTCCAAACAGGAGTTGCCTTAGATGTTGATGCCGTGGCCTTGGATTGCTCCCACATAAAGTTAGTGGAATTTGGCTAAAAAGCTCATATTATGTACGTTAATAGTAATGAACATTAACAGAGTCAAGAACCACGAAGAAGGGGTTTTGGTTGGGGTTTTTCTAACTTCTTAAATACATTTTTATTTAATATATTTTAAAATTAAATGTATTTTTAATACAGTCCTAGGTTTAGATTAGATATCAGTAGGAAGTTCTTCCCGGAGAGGGTGGTGAGGCACTGGAACAGGTTGCTCAGAGAAGCTGTGGATGCCCCATCCCTGGAAGTGTTCAAGGCCAGGCTGGATGAGGCTTGGAGCAACCTGGTCTAGTGGAAGGGATCCCTGCCCATGGCAGGGGGGGTGGAACTGGATGATCTTTAAGGTCCCTTCCAACCCAAACCATTCTATGATTCTATGACTCTATGTTTGCAATTTTTAGCAAGTCCTCTTAGCAAAGATTGTAGTGCTGGCAATGTAACTTCACTGTTTTGCCTTAAGATGGATGAAAGAATATATGTATTTGCTTTTTAGCTCCTCCAAAATCAGTGCTGATGTGAAATACTGCATGAAGTAAAATAATCACTCCAAGTTGTGATGCAGCAGGTCCAAACCCGAGCCCGTTACTGGTGTAACAGCCAGCACTAAGGTGGAGCAGTGCCCAAGACAGGCAGACAGGGCAAAAACATTAACACAGTCTTTTTCTTCTGCCACTCTTTGACTCTAGATGTGAATCTTTTTGCTGCACAGGGGTTGTTCCCTCGGGATGGCAGGCTTTTCCACACATTACTGATGCAAGGGACTTGTCTCAGTCCTGGACACCTCTGCCAGAGCAGGCATCCTATGATCTTTACTTCCACAGATAGAGTATATTCATAGATAATCAAAATATATTTTTAAAGTATTGGTTTGGCACATTTTAGAGGCAAAACCTTGAATCCACTGAAGGAAAATATTCACTTATGTGTGCAAATAATATTTCCTCCTCAGTGTTGTGCAGCTTGTTTCTAACAGTCCTAAATAATAGATTTTCTGTAAGGATGCACTGGTTGGTCTTCCATCTCCTGCACTCTGCACGTGTTGCTCTCAGTTCCCATTCATTTCCTGCTCTTGTACTGAAGTACACAGAAATATTCTTGTATTTATTCGAGCCCCACCACATTTCAGTGTGGGAGCGTTGTTTAGTATTTTAACATGATCAGCTTTCTCTCAAGTTCAATTTGTAGGAAATAACTCCAGGCTTCCTCCTGCAACCAGATGTTTTTGGAGGGAGGTCTGAGTCCTCTTAATTCAGATATTCAATTGTACAAGCTCTTAATTTGCCTGTCTTCACGATTTAAAGGAAGGCTGTAGCGCTCACTTTAAAACAGATTCATCTTTTTTAAAAATCCCTATAATAAAATATGAGATCTGGTAAAAGGAAGGGATTAATCTACAAATTACTTACAGAGTTTATGTAAGGACATGATGAATTTAGATCAAACTAACCTTCTCCAGTGATATTTTGGGGCAAAGACTTGCTCTTTTTTTCTTCCTTTCTTTTTGTTTGCAAGTTGTTGTCCGTACCATATCAGTTGTTAAAATGACTCATAAAATATAGTATATGAGGGACACTTGCTGAGAATTCCTGTTAGCACAAACATACCATGATGGCAAAAATAAGGGTATAATAAGGCCCTTTTATGATCTCAAAATACCAAGATAAGTGCAAGTTTCGAATTGTGATCCCTTAAAATGAAAATCTGGGAAAGGATCCACTCTATAAAAATACAGCCCTTGAAACATCTATAACAATTATTTATTGTAATTATGTGTAATTCAGATACTAAAATAGTACTTTCTGTAGTGGTCCAAGTCTTTAATCTGAATAACGCAGCAGCAGATAACAAGAGATGGCAGTAGATGAATTCCCGGGAAGTCCAGGATGTACAAATGGACTGAAAGGCTCGAGCAGCTCCGCTGGGGACAGAGCCACCTTGCTAATGCTTTTTGAACTAACCAGTTTGAAGAACTAGAGTTCTTTTACATGGACTTTAAACAAACTTAAGTTTTAAATGGGTGGGTTTCTTGGCCTTTCTAATATGAGTAGGTGTGGGCCTGAGGTGACTTAGCAGCGATCATTGGGAAATAATTGTCTTTCCTTTAATATCTGCTCTACCCACCCCTCAGCAGATCAGAAATGCACTAGTGAAAATCAGGGCTAACTCCAACCAAGGGCGGACCATGGCATAAATCTGACTCATGCGGTGCCTGAAAACAGTGTCAGCACTATAATGGCCAATTAAAGCACTGCAATTATGAGGTATTGTCATGTGCTGGTTTTGGCTGGGATAGAGTTGATTTTCTTCATAGTAGCTAGTATGAGGCTATGTTTTGGATTTGAGAAGAATGTTGATAACACTGTTGTTTTAGTTATTGCCAAGTAATATTCACTTTAAACGAAGGACGTTTTCAATTTCTCATACTGCCCCTGTTCTCCCAGCTGCTTCTCTACAAGAAGCTGGGAGGAGACACAGCAAGGACAGCTGACCTAAACTGACCGGAGGAATATTTCATGCCATAAGGCATCATGATCAGTAAATAGGCTGTGAGGAATTGGCCGAGGGGAATCCTTGCTCTGGGATGGGCTATCAGTCACTGGGTGGTGAGCAGTTGTTGCACTGTGCATCACTTGTTTTTGTATATTCCTTTATCGTCGTCATTACTTTTGATGTATATTCCTTTATCATCATCATTACTGCTATTATTATTTCCTCTCCCTTTGCTGTCCTATTAAACTGGTTTTGCCTCAACCCATGAGTTTTTCTTCCGATTCTCTTCCCCATCCCACCTGGGGTGGGGGCGAGTGAGCGGCTGTGTGGTGCTTCATTGCTGGCTGGGGCTAAACCACAACACATGAGAAAGAAATATAAATGGTACAACCTCATAATTGTTTTTACAAACAGAATAGTTTCCCTTTTTGCCTCACTCCCAGCTGGCTCACAGCTGTGGATGCAGCTTGTAGATCCTCTCACGGCCATCATGTCCTATGGATAAAGCCATCACGTCCTATGGATAAAGCCATCACTATGTGGCTTCATACTGGGTCTCGGAGCCAGAAAGTGCTTTAACGTCCACTTGAAGCTGAAGGGGGACCTCAGAGTAGGGTGGAGGGGATGTCACACCCCTATGCTTCTTTATCCTCGCTTTCCCCAGAGCAGGAGGTTACAGCGATGGAGGAGGGAAGAGAGATGCTGATGCTGCTCCATTACAAATCCTTCTTAGAAATCCAAGCTTGGATGTCACCCGAGCAGTCTGATGATATTGTGTGGCCTCAGATGCATCTCGCCATTTCCTGGAGCACACAGCGGGCTGATAGACAAAATGTGTTGCATGCGGGTGGGCGTTTGTACCGGCTTCTGGGCAAAAGTCTGTGCCAGGGTTTCGTTGTGTATCCATCACTTTTATAGATGAAGACCCCAAGGTCGGGGTGATGCAATGGCACCCTGTCAGGCTGCCAGCAGCTGATGGACATTTTTGCAAGCCCAGATATTAAGTAGGGGAAGAAGTGTCCTCTCACAGCACCTAACAAGAGCTTTGCTGTGTAGAAGTAGCACACTCAGAACATATGGATGGAGGATTATGCTGTAGCAGATGGAGTTTGGTTGGGCTCTCCAACTCACCTGACATCAGTATAGAGTCACAGGGCTTTGTGGAGTGACTCTTGTTTTCTTTCAGCGTAAACAAGCTGCTGAGCTTAGTGCTATGGCATTTTTTCCTAATCAGCTCTAGCTAAAACATCCTTGCTGCAACTGTTAACTATAAAGGCATTTCCTCCCTCACAACAGTTTATTTCCAGTGGAGAAGGCACAAAAAATCTCTATCTACTGTTTTTCTTTTTCTTTTTTTTTTATATGCTGTATAAAAATTTTTCATTACGCTACCTGCATTTACCATATTTACCTGCCTTCAAATGAATCCTTCTGTTTTACCACTCTGAAGTGATGGTATGTTGGACCTATGTCACAATTACAGGACAAGCCTTAGTTCTGGTTTAGGGTGCCAGAGGAGAAGTTTGGTATCCCAGGAAAGTTATTCAAAGCTCAAGGTGTCATCTTCTTCCACTAATCACCATACAGGAGTCTGGAAAGGTTCTCCGTGTAGGTTGTAGGAACAACTCTTTAGGATTTAGGGGAACCAAATTATGATGTAACTAAGGATTGAATTAAGTGGAAAGCATCAGTCAACACATGTTGTTACTGGACTTGACATATTCAAAACCCACTTTGCTTGTTCTCCTTTCTAGCCTGAGAACCTCCTTTACTACAGCCAGGATGAAGAGTCAAAAATCATGATCAGTGACTTTGGATTGTCAAAGATGGAGGGTAAAGGAGATGTGATGTCCACAGCCTGCGGGACTCCTGGCTATGTTGGTAAGAGGTTTGGTTATACTGTCCACCCGTTCTTCCCAGCTGCAATACAGACACATAGTGAAAAGGGAATAATACTTGTTTTCCAGTGCCACTGCATAGTGCACATAGGATTTTACAGATGTTTGTTAGAAATAGAGATTTCAAAAGTTGCTGGTGGTCTGCCTCATGTGCTCTTCTGCTTTGGGTCTGCATCCTGCAATCCAGGTCAGGGTTTGTGGGATTCACTTTCATTATTTTAATCCTTTGAAAAATTAGTTTTCTCAAAGATACTGCTTGTAGCTAGATTAGGAGCATGTGAAGAATATCCTCAAACACATTGATTCTGCAAGCACCTATAAAACCAAGAAACTTTACCTAACATAACATTATTCTAATCATAAAGGATAGCATTTGCCAGATGCCCCTGATAGAAGATAGTAAAATGAAAGGGCTACATCAGACATATTCGATAATCCTGTTAAAACCATGTTGAGTTACTGACTCCTAGATGTCAGTACACAAAAGCTCTTTAGGTCCTCAGGCATTCCTGGACAGTATCAAACCGTTCCCTATCTTTTTTTTTTTACTCTTCTGTCTATTTGGCAATGATTGTGCCAGGCTACTGATTAGCAGTGTGTTTACCAGCATCCTTTAAACAAAGTTAAAGTAACTGAATGTGAGAATTATTCGTTGGGTGATGACATGGTGTGTTTGAGCAAACACTATTTAAAAGGCTCACTCCATGCATGAGACGGATCCAGCAAGCCTGCACCTCCTACGATACCGAGCTAGTCAGCTGAGACGGTAAAATTAATCTCTGGGGTATCCATGAAATCCATGGAGCTATAGTGACAGTGGCTTCCCGAGGGATAGATTTGTCTCACATCTTTCTGGTAGGAAAGACTTGACGTTCTCCAGCAGTCAGAGAGAGGCTCTTTTTCCTTTGCAGCTGCCACCTCACCTGTGTTTTCGTAGCTCTGATGATACCGTTGTACAAGAACTCAAACAGGTGATGCAGTTATCACACAGTGATCCAGATTTGTTCCAGGAATACCTTTTTCCAGGCATTATCTTCATGCTGCACAGGCACACACTGTCCTGGTGACATCAGAGAAAGGAACAAGTTTCTTTGGTTTCCCCAAGAAACTCTTTGCCCTTTTCGTGAAGCCACCAGCCCATTCCTTTTTATTTTAAGACATATGAATCAGGATGCACTCTCTACAGCCTGAATATCTGTCTTGTGTAACACACCACACTGGAAATCTTCCAGAGCATTAGCAGGAATTGAGCCGAGACAGCAAATTTCATAATTTTGCTGTCAGCTCTTCTGTCCTTAATTAATATGTTTTCTTTTGTTCTGAAATGGTCACTGACTAGAATAAGTCTGCGAGACACAGGGAAGCTGCGATGATGAAAATGAGGTAGTGTGACTCTGCTTGGGTACTGGGTGATCTCATGGCCTCTCAGTGTAGCCATTTACATAAGAAAACTTGCTATTTTGGAGAGGAAGCTCTCAGAGCATGTGACAGGAATTATAGTGCTTTGAGAGACATTTGAGGGCTCTCATTACTCATGGCCTGGGTGCTGGTAGCTACACAAGTGCCTCCAGGCCTGTTGTTACCTTACTGAACGCAGGATTTACTCATCACGGTTCAAGAGGTCATGTCCACTTATTTCTGAAGTGCTGACAGGAGTTTTTCCCCTCTTTCACAAAGAAAAATCTCTTTAAATATTTGTTCTATTTCTTTTTTTTTTTGCACTGGAGACAGCTCGTCTCTAGAGCTGCTTTTTGCTTTTTTTAATGTAATTGGTTGCCCAGACAACATTTTCCAAGCACAGAAAATTTTTGCTGTCAGTCACTGTGGTGATGCCCACAAATGGGCCTCCACGAGTTTTGCACCTGATGGCATGGCTTCTGTATACATGGTCTGCAATTTGTCCACATCCAAAAGCTTTCATGCCTCCCAGCATCACTCCTGTCTGCAGCACCCGCCTAAAATGCCCTCAGAGAAATCTAAGAGTCCTTCCCCCTAATGGCACAGCACAAATACATGTCCTCATCTGGACTGGGGCAGACATGGGCTGCAGTGCTGGCCCATGAGGTGTCCTCTCTGCCAACTCCTTTTGGGACTTTTTCCCAGCCGTTTTACCTGCTGTTGAAGTAACACGCAGGAATCCATCACTTGCAATGTCATTCATGGGACTTGAAAGATATGTAGAACATCCCATTTTCTAAGATATTATGAGGAATTAATTATTTTTGTCAGTTTAACCACTTTGCTTTTAAATTCTTGGAAAAGAAGTTAGGCATGCATCAAGTACCAAAGGCACCCAGGAATCACTTAAGAAACCATTAAAATCTGCTGCTATTCATACCTTTCTCTCCGGAAATGGACCCAGTCAGATCCTGCTGTGCAAGGTGCTGTACAAGTTTCTGACCTGGGTTCAGACCTGATCTTAGCTCATGTCTGCTGCCCTCTGCAAGTATGTGCAAGCATGCAAGCCCTTTGTCATCTCTGTCTAATTTCCCTCATGAGGCTGTACTTTCAACTGTGTGTTTCGATTTTTATCTCAGCTTTTCTTAGTTTCAGCTCCAAGAATGGTGGTACCCGAGACACTAAATCCCTGTTTGTGTGGTTCAGAAATTCATAGAATAAAGGAGAGTGTAATTATAATTAAAATTCGTCATAAATATCAGTTTACTTCTGAAAATCAAAGTATTACTTATCAAATTAGGGTATATCTAAAATGTGCATAACCATTAGTGCATAAGCCTCTACCTTACAGATTAAATTATTGTCAACAGCTCAGACGTCTCATTCTTTCAGTTTTGTCAGAGATTTTGGTCCTATGGTGAAAAGATTGTGGTTAGGATAATTTAACCAAGTTAGACCTAGTTGAGGCACTTTTGTTAAGATGCAAATCTAAATGTTTACTTCCAGAAGAAGAGGTCTGATAATGCAACCTATTCTGGTGATATAGCTTTTCTTATCTGTTGAGGACTTTCACCTCTCCATTTCTAATGGACAAAACCTAGTTGGAACTGGATGCCCAAATTTAAGATAGCACCTAAATTGGGTAAGATGAGGCAACCTGTGGGGCTCATTTCATTGCAAATTAGGTGCGTGGACTGGCTTGCATAAATTCCACCCCATCTTCTAAACTGGAGAAGAAGAGGTGTTTTCAAAACCCTGAGTGAGCTGTGTGATTATGGGCAAGATCTGTATAAACCATTAGTGATCTGTCATGGGCTGCTTGGCTTAAGACTGTTTAGAAGAACTTGATTTTGATGAACAAGGTGTTCAAAACTGCCTGAAATGAGTAATCCTGGAGGTGTGTCAAGTTGGGAACTCACCAGGAGGTGACTCCAGTCACTCAGCAAATTCCTCTAAAGAGATTTTGACTGTTTGGGAATTAGGTCTCACTGACTTATTTTCTGTGAGAGTTGGTCTCTCAAAAGCTTTGGTTACTTCTGCAGATGGGACTTGGGCTCACAAGATGCTCATGAGCGTTGAAAAGTTTGGAAAAAGTGTTAGAAAGCCTGTCTTGGATGACCTGATCTCCTTTTGCAGAAGGACTGAATTATGAACTGTGTTTGTGGCTGGCTAATATCTTAATCCTACTGAGATTTAAAATTCTTGCTCTGCGTGCCAACCCAACTTCAAGTAAAATTTTCTTGTATTTCCCTGTCATAGGGATTGGTCTTGACCTTGGATGTGTGGTCGGCCCCTGTACACCCCACCTCAGTCACTGGTTTTATTCTCTGTAGTGCTTTTATGAAAGGTCATATCACACCTTTCAGCTCTGCCAGAAACCCAGTAGCAATTTCAGATCATAGCCAAGCCGTGCGTTTCTTAGCCCTGTGCAAGACCAAAGTAAGCAGTAATTTTCATGTTGAATTTTGACTTACTCGGTATCTTTTGAGTCAAAAGTTTGAAAATATTCAATAAGCCTTTGGAATATCCTTATTAGCAAAAAACAACCCCAGGAGTTGTTTAGGCAGTAACATGAGTAATAAAGTAAAAATAAAGCATGGGAACTGCTCTCACCAGGGTTTGCTCAGGCACAAGCTCGTGACAATGCGATCGCTCAGCTCCACTGCCGTACCCTGAAACGGAGTTTGCTTGCATGTGGCTGTAGCATATTATGTTCCATGACAGCTGTCTAAATCTGACTCAACAACATGAAATAGGGACAGTAGGAGCAGAAGAAGCCATGAGAGTTGCACCAAAACCATGCAGTCCTTCAGAAAGAGCACCTAACTGCAAAGTCTTGGCCAACCAGAACAAGATGAACACTGTAGGACTGTGTGAAAGAGGGAAAGGAGTTGTTTTCAACCCCAAAGTCAGAGAAAGAGGGACTCTGGTCTTGTGGTGACGCTGTTTCATATGGCTTTTAGCCTGTTTGCCCCATGAGGAAGACACTTTGTATGGCAGAAGCAGAGCTCATGCTGCTTTTGTACCATCTTTGGCTTAAGAAGAGAGGCTGGGCGGGCCCTTCGTGCATCTGAACATCTTTTCAGTGGTGTAGGATTGTTTCTCTCTGTCCATCTGCTCGAGGTAATACCTTCGAGTCCTAAGCAACAGGGCTGGCACCCTCTCCCTTTGGTGTCCCTTACAAGCTCTGCCTGTTACCTTCCCTCTCAGATTTCATGGCCATCTTGTACCTGCGCAGCCCATTCACATTCCCCCTTCTTCACTTGCGGGACATGTCTGCTTGAGGGAAACCAGCACTGAAATAGTTACCAGCTGAACTACTAGTCCTGACTTGCACCAGGCCAATTTGCTTGATGAGTTGAGCTGTGTGTCTGTCCGGCATAAGCAGGTGCCTGGTTATTTTAACCTACTTAGGTCTTTTTATTCCTCCCACATTTATGGCAGCCTGCTGGTTTGTCACACCTATGGGGATCTTCAGAACCATCACCCTTTGTTCAAATGCCTGGTTCCTTCTGGCCCACAGCTTGTGGGAAGCTGTAAAAACCACAGAAAACAGCATTAGACTGAGTTCTTGTGAGACAGCAAAATCTGCTGGGAGTAGCACCATCATGGGAGTGAAGGCGAATCGCTTATGAGGCTGGTGTGAAGAACAGTCACCCTCATGACTTGTACAATTTGTTCAACAGGCTTAAAGTATCAGAACAATCCCCATCACTTGTGCCTTTGTTTTTGGCATCCAGCAGCTGCATTTGTAGGGAGCTTATTAGCATAGCTGTGCTCACTGGGGTAATGGCATAGTGCTCTGAAAGGTTTCCGAATGTTCCTGTTCTGCACCTTTTCTTAAAACCTCCATTTGAAACAAGCCATTCTTTTTTTTTTTTCCTCTTATTAATTCTCTTATTATAACCAAGACGTAACTGAAAAAAAGGAAAACCCTAACTGTGAAACATCAGATCGTCCGTCCTGGAAGCAGAGTGCCCTGGGAAGCACACCTTCACATACCTGCGGGTGGGATGAGGCCCTGGGACCATTACCCAACATTTTACCTGCCACGTGTTGCCGGCAGCAATGCTTAATTGCCCTGAAAAACAGTTTCTGGATGTGGAAGCAGGGTCGAGGTTTGCTCCATTGACTTGCCCCTCTCTGGTTGTTGTGTAGCATTTGAGCCCACAGTGATTCCCTGGTGAGGTGCGATTCTGGAAGCTCAGCTGGCATTTCCTCAGTTCCACAAACAGGACCTTCGACTTTCCTGTTCTCCATACTGCTGTTTTCTCTCCTCAGTCGTCTGTGTTGATCCTTTAATGCTGTCAACTCTTGGATTTCTTTCATTGCGTCTCCTGCTTTTGCCTCTTGGCACTGATCTACCATCATTTCTGAGAGCTCCTCTGACTTGTTTTTCAGCTCGTTAAATATTTCTGTGTGTCAGAGACAGATGATGCTTAACTATGTTCTCCCGTTCCTGTTGCATGTCTGTTCCTTGGAACAAAAATCAAAAGCAGCCATTTGGCCTCAAAATAAGTCTTTAAACCTCCTGCCTTTCTTCGTTAAAGTTTGCATATGTTTTGGGCTTGGTCCTGTGGTGTTCTTACCTGCTTCACATCTACCATCCATAGCAACGACTGATGTTATCAGTGCTCCTCACCCCTTTAAAAGAGACAGAAATGCCCCAGCACAGCTCTGATGTTTTAAGAGGGAGAATCTTTATATAGTTCATGTCCTTTCATCTCAGGTTTGTTTTCTGTTATGTTAATGTGGCATATCTGTATAATGTCAGGAGCTCACTAGGATCCGTGGTGCTCAGGAGCCATTTGCATAATATTTTCTTTGGGGGATATAAGATGTGTAATGTTTACCAGTCTTGAAAATGATGCAAACAGGAGCAGACAGTCAAAGATGGATGAGGCACGCGAATAAAATATTGGGAATATGGAAGGACTGGGGAGTTGGAAGATCACCTAAGGACAGGGGAAAATGAACTCCCTTCTTCAGCATAATTTGTCACAAAATTCAGTCACAAAGGATGAGACAAAAAGGAAATGGAGTCTGACAAACCCTTGCACGTCTTGAAAAAGATTCTTTCGCAAGTTTTGATGACTCAGGAAATAGAGTCAGGTTAACAAACACAAGAGTTGTCTGGTAAGGTTGTCCTCAGCAACTTTGAGGTTTATACAAGAAAAATGTAAATTTGCCAGACTCTGCCAGCTCACCAGTTGTCTGGAAGGCCACGGCAGGCTGAGCAGGCTGACTCTCCAGTGCTTTATTTGTTTATCCCAAGTTCTTCTTCGGATTCACCCCCACTGGACTGACTACCACCAGCCTGACACACAGACCCTGACCCAGCTGTTGGGAAAGGACTTACTTTGGGTGCCAACTGGGTGCCTTTTATATCTCCACAGTGCTGTCCCCTGTTGTATAAGAATGTTTTAACCTTTACCTCGGCAGACTGCAGCAGCGTGCCCATGTCCTGGAAGGAGTCAGGGTCTTCTTAGGAATGGGAGTGCAGGTTTCTGCCAAGCACCTGGGGTCAAGTTAGGAGCCATTTGTGCTAGGCATGGTAGAAAGAAACCTCCTTTGGCACGTAGTGGATAAGGTGTTGGAGTACTCACACATTCCAACAGCATGTTAGGAATAAGAATATATGAACATAACCATCATTTTAATTTCTTATTCATGCAGCAGTCCCAGTTTGATGCATGACTTGAAGATTGGGGTAATACTTACCCTGCGCTGCAGATTGGATCATATCCAGATCTTCAAGGATCTTCATAATCTGGCTTCCAGCTGTATTTTTACTCACATTCCCCTAGATTTTATTCCTTTTTACTATGTGTCCCCAGTGTGACTTGACCCTTTCCATCATTCTGCTGCTTTTGGAATGCAACCTGGATGCCCTCATTTGCCTTGTGCACTGTCTTCCCTTCAGTCCCTTCTGTAAAATCTCATGCCCAAGCTCCAAAAAGTCTTTTTCTATGTCTCATTTTTCCTTCCTGTTCCCTTCCTCACTGGCAGTTTTGACCTTCGTTTTGTTGACTTGCCTAGTTTAAGAACATAACTCTTTGAATCAGAGTCCATACCAGAACACCAAAGCGTATGTAGGAACTAAATGTGACGCTCAAGTTTTAATACATTTATGTGCTTCACAATTTATTTTTTTCCACTCTTCTTCAAGTAACTGCTTTGATGTTGCTAAGACTCCTAGCAGAGGAAGGTATAACTCCACAAAGAAATATTTTTTTGCTGGGACTTCCCCCTTCGTGATTTTTTTGCTGCATGTGAACTCCAAAGTATTCAGAGGAAATGCTGTGCATTTTAAAACCCAGTGTGACAAGTTGGCTTTCGGAATGCCACAATCAGGGATTTCTTGCCTGGTTGTGGACATCTTGCTTTGCAAAAAGCAAAAGCTTCTTTACGTGAAGAAGATTAGAGTCACTGGTGTTTAAAATTTAGGTTTAAGCATTTGCACTGAAAGGTCCCAATGAGGAAAACATGATACTCCAGGCTCCCAAACAAAAAATGTGCCTTTTAAACTCTGACTGGTGTACAAAAGGAAAGCATACCCACGAAGAGTTTCAATAAACGACTCTCACTTCCAGCAAAATTCAGGGAATGGTGGCTGAAAGCTGTAGAGGCAGAAGGCTCAGTCCCTTTGTGCATGTGTCCAGCTCCTCCTACTTTTGGTTTCCCCCTCTGAGGTGCCTGTGTTACCAGTGGCAGAAGGAGAAATGACTGACTCAGACATCCAGCAGGCTTTGGAAGGCTGGAAGGTGAGGTGACAGCTCTCCTTCCTCTCCTGCAGACCTAACTTATCACCTCCCTGACACGCTGGGCTTTTGGAGTGGCCTCTCGAAATCCCTTGTTTGGCAGCATGCTGCGATGGAATGTGCACCTCAGCACCGGTGCAAAACTCGGCCCCGTTTTCCTTAGAGTCTCCTCAAGTTCCTCTGACAGAGAGGTGATGGCCCTCTGCCTCTTGTGCCTCTCGTCCTTCTTTGTGAGAATATGAGATTCAAAAACATCAGGATGTTTGCAAATGCAAGGACTATATGTGTAGGGCAACACAAGGTCTCAGGGAGCTTTGAGTTTCAGGGTTCCACCCCTTGGCCACTTCCAAATGTTTGGTCTTGTAACGTGCTTTCTCGGCTTTTTATTTTCAGCTCCTGAGGTTCTGGCACAGAAACCTTACAGCAAAGCCGTGGATTGCTGGTCCATCGGGGTCATCGCGTATATCCTGTGAGTATCTGCAGGGCTTTCAGTCACCGGCAGCTTTGGCACATGCTCTCCGACCTTGTGCTTACCCACTTCATCTGGTCCAAGAGAGTTTGTCTCTGACACTTGTGACCCAGGAAAACATGGACACCTCCCAGTTACATAAAGGCTGAAGTTTGGGCGGAAGTGCTAGGAAATGAGCCAGGACCCTTCAAAACCAAAAATCCTTGCTCTTACCTGAGCTGCACTGTGTGCAATAGTGTGGGCTTGTCCAGGTTGTGACGCGAGTGAAGCTGCTCCCTCCCCTGCTCAGGTTAGCTTTGACAAGAAACTAATTTGGCCATGTGCACAGAGCAGAGCATCATGCCCACAGGCGTACCCTGAAAGGTCACCTCTTTTGAAGCATCGCTGCAATGGATTTTTGTTCCCATGGGAGGGCACAGAGGGGGGTGGGGAGTGGGGGAGAGATTTTTACATACAATTATTCTCATCAAAACATAGTACAAAATACTGAGAATTTATGGAAGATGAAGGATCATTTTCTTTAACATATCCAACCATCAGATCCCATAGGAGAGGCTGACCTGATTTTTGCCCTGTCAGTTCTGTCACTCTTCCATCAAACCTCTGCTTTTGTGACTGTGATTTGCTTCTCTAATGAGGCTAATTGTTGCTCAAAGGAATGGGGATTGGTTGCTTGAGAAAGCTACAGGATCCGGACTTTGGTGCATTCTCCAAAGTGGTGGATATGTCTCAGAACTCCTAAGTTTGTGGAGATTCAGTGCCTTCCTCATTCAGTACCTACCACCCTTCATCACAAAGGCTTAATAGGATAATTTAAATTGGAGGGAACCTCAGGAAGTTCTGTCCTTGAGGTCAGCCTAGGTTGCCTATGGCTTTATCCAGTTGGATCTTGAAAACCTCTGAATATAGAGACTGCACAAGGTCTGTTCCACTGCTTGACTGTCCTCGTGGGGAAAAGGTTTTTCATTATACCCAGACTTGTCTCCATGAAGTGGTGCAGCCTGTACTCTAAAAGTGGGGCCATCTTCAGTACTTGAGCCATGAAGTACATAAGCCAACTCCTGTCCCAGCAATAGCACTCAGAAGGATTGGAGAGGTGTCCTGTCCAATATATTGTAGTCACAGGGATATCCTGGTACCGGGGGTCATTAGTGCTGTCCAGAGAAGGGCGTCCTTAAGATTTCTGGGCACCATCATCTGAATCCAGCTCTGTATGCACGAGCATTTAAAATCACTGCTAATATTTGTATTGAGAAGGAAATGCAGGATTTGTTGTCTGTGAGTCTGTAGGAAGACTCCGTCTAGCTTAGAGACCTGTCTTGATGGGATGGTCTGTGCTGGGGGCTCGGGACTGTGAGTCCATGCACGTCACTCAAACAGCAATTGCACAGGTTGCACCTGCACAGCCCAGCAGACTTGGGAGCAGGAGCTGTTCATGTGGGTCCTCAAGAGAAGGTCAGGCTTTTGCCACGGCTTGACCCAGCAGGTTGCACCTGCACAGCCCAGCAGACTTGGGAGCAGGAGCTGTTCATGTGGGTCCTCAAGAGGTCAGGCTTTTGCCACGGGTTGACCCAGGGTGACCACGCAGAGCACAACAAGCCTGTTCCTTTTGTGCAAGGGACCACAGAGCTGCTGCGTAGCTGTTGACTGCCACAGAAACAAATGCCTTTTCATGCCAGCATTGCCGGTGCTTTCCTTTTTCTTTATTTTTCCCTGTTACACAACTGTCACAGTTACACAAGACTGGAAGAAAAAGCAGCTCCAATGAGGCACAGCATTAAAGCATTCCTACTTTGTTCCCTTTCTCCTCTTGCAAACATTTCATTGCTTGTCAACATGAATAACTTCTTGATGGTGTAGTAGAACTGTTCTTGCCACGACAAACCTCATTGCTGTATTATCCTCTCTGTGCAATGTTCATTCTTTAGATTTCATTTAGTCTTGCACATGCTATATGTGACTCAAAATAGCTTTTTATATTAAGATAGTATAGGAAGGGTTTATTTATTTGCATGTATGTTTACTTATTTAAAACAAGGTCCTGCCTGAAAACATCAGCTTTATGACTGGCTTTCCAATCTACATGAATATTTGAAAGCTTGTTAAGTACCAAACTTTGCAGGGGAATGGATTTATCTTGGAGCAACCATTAATAGCAGGATGCAAAAAACCTTTGCATAGCAAAGCAAAAATCAACAGTGCTGATTCTGACTTTGTGGCAAAGCCCAGCAGGACACGCAACGGCAGTGCCAAAGACAGCAGACATGCCAAAATACTTCAGACGCTGCTTCACACATCATTCCCCTAGTGCTCTTTGAGATTAAGATGGTGTCTGCTGACCCAAACTTGCCATCTTCCACAAGCAAACATGAGCATGGAAGGCGTAGGGGTTGGGTTTTTTGCAGTTTTTGGTCCTTGCCAGCCATGTCAGGACAATCAAGTAGGGTCTTTCCTGTTGCTTTTGTAGTACTTTGCTGAATAGCAGTTTCAGAGAGTGAGAAGGAGGATGCAGGTTCAAGACAGCAGTACATTCCCTCACTTCGAGGCTCGACCACTACCCAGGTTCAGTTTATTGTCAGATACTCACCCTGAAAATATGCATCCATCTGGCAGCCCACAGGAGGGGTGAACTCTTGCCTGGAGATAAACTTGGCTTTGCTTTCCTCCAAGCTTTCAGTACCATTCAACCATGGCTCCTGCACCAAAAGTCTTTTTTTGATGGCACGCTTGTTATTTCACTTGTTGCCTTTTTTTTAGTTCTATTCTTCCTGACGAATATGGATGAGGCAGTGCTAAGCAATGTGTCCTCCACCTCCCAGCTGATTAACGTCTTTAATAGGTGGAAGGTTTCAATCTCATCCGCAAACCTTCTCCCTTCCTAAGCAAGCCTGCTCTTTCTGCAAGGTTCAGCTCAGTTGTTTCCAGCTCTGTTTTCCAAATCAGCATGTGCTGGGCTTGTTAAGAAAGACATACACACCCCTCAAATCTAAATTTCTCATTTGCTGTATGGGGAATTCCCAACCCTGAAGGCTTAAATCAGTTCAGTAAGAACGAGTCCCTGAGAATTCATGTTTTCAGGGCAAGGAAACGTTTTCAGAGTTTCTGTGCTTCATGTAATAAGGACCTGATTTGTATTATGTACAGTCAAAATGAATGGCAGTAATGTGTTGCCGTAGAAGGAGCATGGTAATGTGTTTGCCAGACTGTGACTGACTGGGTGGGATTGGTTTTGCGATCAAGCCACCTCCTTGCGTATTCCTGCATGTGAGCTACATCCTTCGGCTCGTGTTGCAGTCAGCAGCGCTGCAGGGCTCGCTTGGGTTACCCTCATGTAGGTGCTTAGTGCTGGTTTAGTCCCACGCAGTCTCAAGCTGTGGCTGCAGGAAGGGCCAGCCCCCGGTAGCCCGTGGCATACCTGCCAGCTGGGGACAGGGGTCCTGTGCACTCAACAGCTTTTCCAGTGGCACCAGGGCTCTACGTGTGGGCACCTCAACCCAGCCTGGGTCCATGCAAGCAGCCATTTCACTGGGATGTGCCATTCTTTCAGTTACCTGAACTTACGTGTTTAGTGCCACGCGGGGGTGTCAGGGACAGCCAAGTGGATTTGGCAAGTGTAAGGCACTGCAGAGACCTTCCTTCTGGAGTGGCAGATGGAGACCAAGTGGAAGACGATGGACCGCGTTGAATAGCACCAGATGCCCACGCTGAGGCTACTGGATCACACCCTGCTCTGTAGTAGCCCTTTACCTTCACAGTATGGTTTCATCTGCTTTATGGTACATTTGCATCACTCTCCGGCCTCCTTGACGCCATCTCTACTGACTGCAATGGAGCTTAGAAACCCAGCCCACATCTCACGTGTCCTAATCTTGTACGGGATCTCCTCCTTGCTTACAGAAATAGCCAGAAACTGCAGACATGGCCTCTGAGAACATGAGTGTCAGGGGTACAGTAAGATTCGTTCCCTAAGCTGGTAGGAGGTAGCGCTGCTGGGGTGTCTGATACCACCAGTGATGGGCAGAGGTTTAACGTGTAGGTTTGCTGTCTCAGCAGTGGCACACCACCGGGGGTGGCAGATCCAGCATGCTCACCCTGCACCACACGACATGGCACCGAGATGCAACAAGCATCAACAGCAGAGCCACCCTGGTGCGATGCTGGCAGTTAATCCTGCCCTGAGCAGGGGTTATTCATTCCAGTGTATCACCACACGCATCCGGATATGCCATTTCCAGCTCCACAATCAAATCAGTTGGAGCTACTTGCACATGCCCAAACTAGTCAGACATATGCATGCATAGGGCAATCCAAGCACATCGTCCTGCATCACCTCCCCACCTCTCCCAGGAATCCTCACAGCCACTCTGAACAGGCTGTTGTCATTTAAGATGGAAACTCAGGGGAATCCAACACAGAACCTGGACATAAATTAAAGATGCTCTGAGCTATTATTATGGCACATGGATTGAGTGACTCCAGACACAAGCTCACACGAGAGGCTTCAGTTTATGACACTGGAAGAACAAACTGTTTCTGTGGCACCAGTGCTCTAGACAAATACTTGTTTCTGTGATACGCAAGGTGAAGGATGTCTTAGTAAAAAATACCTTTGTTTCAGTCTCTAATGCTTCTTGTTAATGACAGACAGATTGCAGAGGCTGTACCAGTGGAGTTTTTATCAAAAACTGTTTTGCATGGGAAGCCATTATTCACACAAACTAATTTTAGCAGCCTGAAATTTCCTGTTATTCCAGTTGCAGTATTTCTCAATTTGAAACAGCTTCACTGTTGAGCTTGGCTTTCTATTTATCAAAAGGCAGTTTTGATAATATCTTAATCTTAAAAATATAAAACATAAGAAGCATAAGAACAAGAGAATTCACTGGATTCCCAGCAGCTGGATTTTGGACCTGTCTGGGTCACATGAGGGGTTACAAAAGCTTAGGGAGCTAAGTACTGATTGCATGCATACCTGATACAATGAAGATTAAGTTAATATATGTAGAAAATAGACGATCATGTTCCAAAGCTGGAAAAGCACCTGGGGCCACAGAATGCTGCGCCTCAGCCCCTGGTTATTCATAGTCAACCCTCCTGTCCCTTCTGCGCTAGGCTGAACGCATTTTTCCCTGAATTTCCTTATGATTCTGTTCACTGGTAGGACAAGAGAATTACTGAGTTGTTATTTATAAACAGCAAGTATCTGGAGATAAATCATAGTTTCCTGTACTTCTTTGCTGCCGAGTTGTTTATTTTCAAGTAGATGTGCATAAAATCAGCAGTGATGTTTGTATGGAAGGATTAACCAGGGGCAGTACATAGTATGTTATGCCAGAAAAAGTTTCTACCATCATCCTGGAGTCGTACGTTGGGAAAAGCTGCTGTGTCATCTTGCCTGCTTGGCATCACACACAAGCCTAAGCAAGTAAGTGAGGAACAGCTTGCTTTTTCGGTACCGGAAGGTCAGTTACTGGTGGCAAAATGTACATGGGCATGTTAGATTGCTCAGGGTAACACAGTTAAACACAGGGAAAACAACCCCAAATGATTGCTCCTCAATGCTTGCTTCATAATTTACTTTTTACTCCCTGTGCTAATATGTCCTTGTCCACAGTTTCATAAGGGCACCGGTGTCAGTCAGTATGAGGGTCCATTCCCAAAATAAGAAGAAATACATGTGTTTATCCCTATAAATAGCACTTGGATGACTTCCCACACCATACATCTCAGGTCTTTGAGCACTTACTGAATTCTTTGCTCTAATCTCACCATAAAGTTGTTTGTAAAATAACCCTGGTGCCTCTTGCTACAGGCTGTACACTGACCATGCAAATTGGTTATTTAGCCTGTAGTAGTATCACCTCCAATGACAGGGTGTTTGCTTTCCCTGCTTTTTGAGGAGTAGATGTTCCTGCTATTTGCCTTGTGCTCTCCCGATAGCTTCTAGAGATGACTTCTGGCAATATCTTTCTTTTGTACATCCACCTGTGTTTTAATTATCTGCATCCCATTCTTTTTAAGGCAAGACTGGGAATAGAAGGTTAAGGGAAAATCTGTTGCTGATGTGATAAGGTTGCTAAATAATTCTGAAAAGCTTTTATTTGGCGAAACTGCGAGAAAATGATGACAACTAATAGCTGCCTGAAGCTCCCCCAGGACAATGCAGGATTTTTTCACATTGAAGACAGAGGGGTTATTTTTATATTTCTGCATATCTGACGAAAAGCAACAGAACCTCTGATAGTGAGGTCATTTTTTTCACACAGAAATATCCCAGCAGATGGAAATGAAGTTGGTGGGATTTTGATTCTGTAAGAATTAAACAAAAACTTATTATGGACTTTGGAAGGTGGCCCAGTTGCTGGAAATCCAGCAAGATTTCCTCCAACCATAAATTGCATGATAGGCCCATTTACTGGGGTTTTCCCATCCCTTACTGCTGTCGTGGTTTAACTAAAGTAATGTTAAAACTTCTGTGTCTTGCTAAACTCTGATTTTAAGGGAAAGGACAGCAAGACAGTCAGTATTTTGGCTCCCACAGGGAGGACTTGTGCCAGGATGCCTTGGTGTTCCCTTCCCACATACCACCTCCTCTCTCCTAAGGAGCTTGCTCCCTTCTTACCTGCTTTCTGCTCTAGGTCCTCAATGGTTTGCCTCCTGGAGGAACATCCCTAGGTTCTCTTATGCAGGAAGTTCATCCTCATCTCTGGCCAAGCCAGGACCAGCCCTTGGTCTACCCTCAGCCTGCTCTCAGCCAGGAGACTGGTTTGGAGGGGTGTCCCTGCCCACAACCCATAATAGAGACTAACACTTCTCTAGCTCTCACCAGCAAGGGAAAAGCAGTGCAAAATAGTCTGATTTCTGCCCTCTGCCCAGCTTCCATCAGCCCTGGCATCCTCCTGCATGATGCTGTCTCCTCGTGCGTCACACCTTCAGCCATGCAACCCTGTTAGGGGCTGTGATGACCTCCCAGACACGGAGATAGACACCCCAGACTCAAGCCATGCAGAGGAGGAGAGGAAGATCTGGATGGGTGTAGGAGATGGATTGAAAGGCTCTGGAGGATCTGGGACTCTTGCTGGGGTTCATATCTCTCTGCTCTCCCCTTTGCAGGGTTATAGCCCTCCAGCTCTGTGCTGCTCAGAAGTTTGCTGCTACCTTTTGCTGCCACAAGCATGTATAAATCACAGCAGCCCTAACTTGTGCTCTTGTACCTTTGCCAAGGTAATTAGTACAGTGCACATTTTACGAGAGTTATTTCTCTCTCTGGAGCAGCCTGACAGCGCCTCGGCATGCACAACTCTGTCTGCTCGCCTTAAAATGCTTTATCGGAGCAGTTTGGGTTTGTTTAGGGAAAGTGCTGAGGAAGGCAAGAAATTAATGAAGGGCTGTCAGGCTTCTTATGCAGAGCGCAGTGCGTCCCCTGGGGAAGAGGGACCGAGCGATGTCTCGGGGTGACTTTGGTGGAGATTTCCTCCAGCCTGGGCATCTCTACCCCAGCGGCCATCCTAACAGTTGCAGTACTGGTATTGTCAACTCCAGCATTTCCAAACCCCTCAGGAAAGCACCCAAAACCTTGAGGGTTTTGACAAAAGAGGGGGAAGGTAAAAATCAGGTTGTGTGCATCCTCCCACAAGACCTAAGCGCTGATATTCATTGCATTAAAGCAAGTTATATAAATGTTCTTCATAGATACCTATAGAGCTGGGTACTGGTTGTGGATCCAGTGTCTGCTTTAGGATACCAGATGTTTTCCCTGCATAGTGGCTTTTTGGCATTTGTTTAAATACTCCACTTTTAATGGCCCTTCTCATATGCCACTTCACCGCTGGGTTTCACATAGGAGTTGCTGCATCGAGCCCCATACACAAGTGCATGCCCGTTAAGTAGGTGTGCAGTCCTGCTCTGAATGTAAATGCTTGCCTGGCATGAGGTTATCTGACTTGCTTTTGATAATGGCAGTCATCCAGTGGGACACAAAGGAGGACTGGCTCATCTGCTTTGCAAGACAGAGAGGTTTCTGATTCAATTGAACCACAGTGGATTCATTATAATACTGCAAATTTCAGTAGAGTTCTTCCAGGTCAATATGGATCTGACGCAGATCAACATCTCACTCAGCATTTAAATTATTTATCAAGCACAGTGGCCCTTCAGAGCTAACAAAACATTGTTCCTTTCACCCTCGAGTGTTGAGTTGGTTCAAATAACCTCCAGGGCAGCCGGCTGGCTTTGGGTTATAAATAACTCGAGTATTTCATTTCTTACATTTCCCCCTTCTTGCTCTGTTGTTGCTACAGTGTAGTGTTTCAGCTAGATCTTCAGTCTGTTTATAATGGCTGGCTCTCTCCAATTAAATGCTTTATTGAGGTTGATTGACTCAGTTTAAGAAAACTGTAGGAAGAAGATAATTTCAATATCAGCGACATATGTGAAAGAATAATTTATACCATAGACTAGAGAGAAGGGAAAAAAATGCATCATCTCTGTAAAAGACAAAAGAGGCAGAAAAGCCTGTTTAACTGTGGACAGGGTGGGTTTGCTAAAACCTTGGACCAGCCTCAGAGGTAAATCTGGCACTTAGTAATCTTTACGGGCATGTCTGCACAGAGAGGGACAGACTGCTGCCTGCAGCATCGGCTGGACCTGAGGCATCTCTGACACAGGAGTTCTGTCACTGCACTTGCTTAACACAGTGCCAGATATGGTTTTGCCCATGCCCAGTGTCTGTAGAGCTGGAGGAGCCCTTCCTCGGCAGAATGCCTATCCTGCTGTCTGCAGCACTGGAAGGGTGCACCCGGAATGTTTTAGCTCGAACTAGGCAAATAATGTTCCATGTCCTGCTTGTCCCGGGGCTAGGTTTTCTGAGCAGTCTGATTGTAAATACCGAAAACCAGGACAGGACTGTCGTTAGCCTTAGGTAAGGTAGGCAATTTGATGTGGGCAGCAGAATCACTTGCAGAAGTGAGAAAGGGAAGGCTCTCCGTGTGTTTCTGCAACAGCGGCAGGTCCATGTGCAGCCTCTGCAGGCTCTGCCGTGGAGGTGGGGTGACTCCCAGCCATCCTTTTTTTGTGCCTGGGGACACAGAGCATGGTCCAACCCGCAGACGCATCCTGCCTTCCGCCTGATACCTCTGTGGGGCTCCTTGTCCTGCTTAGCTCCAGCACTTCCTCCCCATGGTGCTGGAGAAGGGGTCCGTGCAGGTGGCCAGTGGCTCCCCAGTTGTACAACAAGCCTTCCTATACCGCTGCAGTCTCTAGCACAATATAGAGACCACAGGCTGTGCTCAAAGCCCGTCCTGACGCCATGCAGGTGGCTGGATACGTGTTGTCACCTCTTGTGTGTCCTCAGCTCCCAGGGCTCTGCTGCGCCCGTATGTCTGCAGAGCCACTGCACTGCCTTTCCATCTGTGAGAGAGTAAAGCTGGTGTAAGTGGCTTGTGTAAGGTGTTGGGTGAGAACAGTCCGGGAGGACAGCCAGAGCAATGAAGCCAGTAATGAAGATGTTTGGATGGGGAATGGTTGTGCTGAGGGATGAGAGGGACTGGTGCTCTGTGGATGCAGGGTGTAACCCATGAAAGCTTCTCTTATCACGTGTATAGGAGGGGATGGAAGGGCTCACCGTTGTGTGATAAAACGGTTCCTCTGGCTAAACACCCAAAAGCATGCAGAGGGAGGTCAGGATATCTGCCTGAGTCAGTGTAGGATCAACAGCACTGCATTTCCATGCAGAATTCCTCTTTGTCCAGGACAGTGCAAATCTCCAGAAGTGGGTTTTCATGTCCCTGAACAAAATCCTCTCATGGTAGTGTTTGTCTGCTTGAAAACTCATTAGGGCAAGTCTTAAACAACATTTTTTTCTTCTTCTCCCTCTCTCTTTCTCACCCTCTTGGCAGGGATGGGTCCGAGGATCACGGCTCTCTTTTCTTTTCTCCATTAGGCTCTGTGGGTATCCCCCTTTCTATGATGAAAACGACTCCAAACTCTTCGAGCAGATCCTTAAGGCAGAGTATGAGTTTGACTCTCCGTATTGGGATGACATCTCTGAGTCTGGTAAGAAGCTACTGCTCATTTAATTGCAACAACCATGCATGCACGCCTGCCTGCCTGTGGCAGATACCCTTCACCAGGCATGAGAATGCACCCTCCATCATTTGTGGAGCCCCTTTTCACTGAAAACCATTGGGAATGTGCATTTATTTTCACTCAAATAGTTACAGGAGGTTATTTCTGCAGGAGAGCAGAAATAACGCGAGCTCGGTGTCCTTGCTCTGTCCAGCGTGGGGAAATGTCTGCCGTTTCACACACGGGAAGAAATGAATTCTAGGAACGTTTTATCAGACAGAAATGCAGTTTTCTGCTTCATTAGTGCTACTGATTAAGACAGGGGAGATATAAAAAGAAGTGTTTTATTTTAAAGATGATTATATATCCTGTTATCTCTGCACAGAACAACATTTCATGCTGCTTACATCTGCAGTCCAGATATCGTTGTGATGGATTGTTTGAAAATACATGTGATGAGAAGGTTTTTTTAAGCCCATAGGAGTTTTCTGAGAAAATATGAAGGTCTGCTGGCAGACCCCTTTGCATTTTGGGGGGAAAGTGCATCACCTAAATCAGCACAAAGATTTTCCTGCCATATTTGGCTTTGCTGTGGCTCATTCAACTACTCTGTCCTGAAACCACTGGATGCATGCCATGCTGCGATCTCCCTTCCCTCCATTATAGTGTCTGTTAAAAACATACTACCTCATGCTCAAGGGATTCCGTTTTGCTCGGTAAATTGTTTTGAAATGCACAGCATGTCCTCATGTGTGCGTGTGCTTGGAGTGAGCAATGAAACTCTCATCTTCCTGTGGCACCACCTGACCTCCTCCTTGCCTTTCCCACTCAGTTTGCCAGCATCTTCAGCAGATGTGGCCATATTCAGACCACTAAGATGAGCAGAGGCACTTGGCTGAACAGGATGCTGGCAGGCTTGAACTCTGCTGACCCTGAATTATCCGTCCCACTCCTAAATAGACCTGCAGGAGTAGACGCCTTCAGCTTTTATCTGCCATACTAAATAGCTTGGATTTAGTCCTAAAACCTTTTCATCACATCTATACTAATAAATGACAAATTACCCAGGGCCATTCTCTGGTGCTGTGACCAGATGGCACTCAATAGCCTGGTCAGTGCTGTTGGCCAGTCATCCTACAGCAGAACTGGGCATCAAAACTGTTGCTTTAAAATATTCTCTCTCTTTTTTATAGCTAAAGACTTCATTCGGAATTTGATGGAGAAGGACCCTAACAAAAGGTACACCTGTGAGCAAGCAGCACGGCACCCTTGGTAAGCAACAGTCACTGCTGTGTGAAACCCTTGGGACAGGGAGCATCGGTTTACATTCATGGGTGGAAGTGTACTGTGAGACACAGTATACTAACCTCTACTAGATAACTCTCTGCTCTTAGTCTTACAAATCCTGCCTTTGTCCTCCAGATTTTCCTGGGAAACCGTGATGGACTTTAATCTCATGCACCAACCTGTTGAGTATCTGTATAAGAATTCAGTGAAATGCTGAATTATGTATTTTGACTGTAGTGCAGCAGTGGGATATGCCAGAACGATTGAACCCAGAAATCATATTTTGGGGCCAGAGGTCAAACTCTGCAGGTGTGCAGAAAGCTATCAACCTGCTCATGAGATCCTTGCCAAAGTCACAGAAGAGCACTTAAGAGCATCCCATGAAGTAGGAGGTCCTCATCTGTGCTTCACAGATGATAGTCCACCTCCTACTTGCAGGAAGGAGCCGGTTTCACATGCTGTTTACCTTCTCTTGTTGAATGCAAGAGTTAGGAAACCCTTGAGAGGATCAGCTGAGTCTGAATTGGCTGTAGCAATGCTGTCTCTCTGCAGTGACTACAGAAAAGTACCTGGAATAACTGTATTCATAATCTAGACCCCTGTTAAGAGCTTTATGTTAGATAATGCCTTTGCACATGGGTGACTTCACCAACGTTACCCAGGGCTTATGTAGCTGAAACAAGAGTGGCTCATGTACTTTTGACCAACCCTGAGTGACTGAGCATCACCCCACACTACCAGCTGTACCCAAAAATGGGCTTTGAGTGTAAGTCTCTTAGGGCAAGGATCATTTTATATGAAATGAGATATTATTTTGGTTGCTATAATAGCTGCAACAGAAAGGAATCAATGGCATAGCATTTTCACCCCAGGTGTGCATTAGGCTGTGTTTTTATGCTATCACAGTTAGCACAAATACAATTTCTTCTTGCAGTTTCTGGAGCGCCGGCTGGTTAAAAGCATTAGGCTGTGCATTTGCAAGGGAACAGAGTTTTTCCTGAGTGTCTGTAGTTATAACTAGCTCAACAGCTTGATGGACTGCAAAACCATCCTGGTGCTGCAATTTGAGCCCAGGGATCAGCCTCAAGTAGTGTAGTTGAGTATGAAACGCATGGTAAGAAAAGCATGGGCATAGAAGTTGCCAGTGAGTTTTAAGGTAGCACGGCTTTCTGCTGAGAGTTGGAGACCTTTGTTCAGAGGATGGAGTCCGCAGCCCTCTGAGGCTGGGGAGCTTTGACAGTGAGGCTCTGGTCATCTCTGCTTCCTCAGCAGACATGAGGTTTGGACATATTCCTTGACCTTTCTCTCTCTGAAGTGACAGCACTTGGTACCCAGTTTAAAGTCATGTTAAATTTCAAAGCAGAGTAAAACTTACAGCTGTAGCTCTTCTTTCTCTGACTCTCCTTGGTTTGTGTCATGTCACTGCTGCTCTCAGTCCTGGAACTAGGTGAAAAGTAAATCCCTTCAAAGGTTTCTACCATTCTGGTTTACTTGCTGATACAAGTTTGACCAATACACAGGATGATGAATTACCCCATGATTAATTAATGATTTGACACTCATAGTGGGAATGATGTACTGATGTCTGACTGCAGTTTGTCAGTCACTGTGATCACAAATCAGGCTGAAGATAAGATTGAGGAGCAGCCTTTACAATTAAGTTTTAGGAAAGGCTTGGGATGCAGAAGGCAGTGTAAATCATTACAAAAAGCAGGTTCTTGCTCTTCATCCTCTATGCCCATGACAACGAGAAACGTTTTACAGATGTTTTTTAGCTGCATCAGTGGCTGGCATCAATACAAATGAAAGATGAGGAGACGTCAAGACCTGGGCCTGCCCTTTTTCCAATGTCCCGTCAATAACTGCGTTGTCTCTGTGACAAAAAGGAAATTTGGGAAATGAAATCCAGCTTTCGTGAGCTGAAAAAAAAAAAAAAACCCAACCCATTTCTAAATGACACTGACCTGAGCCTCAGGAAATTAAACAAGTTACAACAGTCAATGTTAGACATACAGAATAAACAATGGGAATGCAACTCCCAGCAGAGAATGAGGTGACCATTCGTATAACTGAAAGGCAGATTTTCCAAAGCCTTACATCCAAGATACACAAAACGTAAGCATCCAGTTCTTGGCCCCGCTTCATCTGTGTTGGTTGCTGGAGTGCAACAAAGAAACGTGGCACTTGTAACACACACAGCTTCTGGGACCTCCTAAAGGAACAAAATGATAAAAAGTGCTTTCATTCCTTTTTCTTTTTTTACTTTTTCTCTCTTTTGCATGTCATGGCCAGGGGCCAATGGAAACTCACAGGCTGCTCCATAATTTTCAGTACTTTCTGCAGAATCAAGTCTTCCATTTAAAAACAGCCCCCTGCAAATGGGTTTTCCCCCATTTCTGTGGCAGGGGGTCTTCTTCTTCCAGGCTGACTTTGCAAGGCAGTGGTTCATTTGCAGAGCTGCCTCCCGACCCTGCAAACCGTGTCTCAGGGTCAGACATGCACATGGCAGCACAGTAGGGAGGGTTAAAATATTTACCGTGTTTCCACCCCATGTCCCAAATCCACCTCCCTTCAACACAGACACAATATGTGACAGTGGATTACGCAAGAACAGTTGTACAGTGAGAGCAAAGTATGGAGGTTTCCAAAGATAGGGCTTCAGATCTACCTCTGTCCTCCCCAGTGAGCTCTTGAGCAAAACCTGGTGTCTCATCCCTCTGTGCTCTGGAAGGCTTCCTGTAACAGAAGTGTTGCAGTTATGGACCTCTCTGGAGAGTGCTGCAGTGAATTTTTGGAGGGTTTGGATCCTGTAGTGGTAAATGCTACTTAAATGGCTTTTTGAATAATCGAGGTTACTCACCTGGATATTTTCTGTTATTTCAGGGTTAGTGCTAGGATCTCCTTTTGCCAAGCCATTGCTCAAGAAGCAGTTTCCACTCAGATTGCTTATGCCAGGAAATAATGATGTTTTTACTGCTTCTCTTCTCATTCTAGCCACTGTATCTGTTGCATTGACATCCTCCCCTCCCCTTTGAAGGAGAGGAAGGCCTTTTCAATGGAGGAGGAGAGCTCGGTGCTTCCTCTCAATGGACTGCTGTGTCCTTCTCTCAGCCTGGACATATTTAAGTTTCCAACAAGTCCAGGCTTGAGTTCGTCTCTCTCGTGGTTGCATTCAGTGTTGCAGCAGTCAGAGATAAGGATGTAAGTGTTCAGCCAACAGAGAGAGGGTACCATGCCTTTTATTATGGGGGCATCCCACACTACCTTTCCACATGAATATGTGTTTTTCAGCATACCCCCATTAGCAACATCACTTTCCACAGTGTCTACATAGCGTTGTCTTCTCTGTGTGATCAAACGTAATGAGGGATGTAAGACTGCTGATTTAATGGGAAGAGATGGTCAGAGCAGACCCAAGTGATCCCATAAATGATACGCTGTTGCGTCAAGTAGGTCTTAATGCCATCCCACAAAAGGTATGTTTTTGTCCGCAGGATTGGTTCTGTAGAGCAGCGTAACTGGAGCAGCATCTTTAAACCCTATAGTTCGCATGAAGTGAAATCCTGATTCCACTGAAGTTAACGGGACTTTTGCCACTGACCAGTGAGAGTCAGGGTTTGGCTGTGCAAATGGTAGAGAATTTGTTTGGTGCTGGGCAAATGGTAGAGAATTAGAATATACAATGAGATGGCTCCATGTAGTGACATTTTCCAGCTTTCTCTTTTTCTTCCTTCTGCAAAATCTCTTCCTGCAGTATCAGATCATTGGGATCAGCCACAAATTAGGAAGAAATCTATCAAATCATGAATGCTTAACACATACACTGTAATCTGATGGTGATAAAAAGAGTTAACTGTGCATGGCATGGCTACCTGGCCGTGAGATTTTTTTGTTTCAATATATAACATTTGCGAAGAACAAACTGATTCCAAAATATACCTCATGTTAATTACCATGTTTTTATTAAAAACTTCCAAACAAGGCTTGCAAGAACTGGATCTTGCAAAATACTACGTTTGTGCCTTTAAGGTTAATAATCTCTTTGAATTTCGGGAAACTGCTCAAGAATAGCTAGCTATTCACATGACTAAATGTTTGTACAGGATCAGACCCTAAAAAAAGTAAATACTTTTTCCCAACGGCCCACTTTTCTGTGCTGTATCTGCTCCCCACATGCCTGCATTTACGTGATGTTTTGCTATTTATAATCAAATGGCCTTGGCAGGGGGACGGAATGTTAAACTCAGAGTTGGCAGAAAAGGAGGCTAATAATTGCAGTGAAGTATGGTAGCTGAAAGAGTACAATATGTAGGACTTGTTGGTATAATGATTGCACACAGCCTGTAGAATCTGTCCATTTATACAGATTTCTCCAGTTTAATATACAGGTGATTTATGCTTTCCATTGGTAAAGTTAGTTATTTTACAGCGTTATCTTTCACTGAGGTTTGAACTGTTTATGCTGTGTTGCAAAGGTGCAATGTTCTGCTTAGTTGTTCCACTGTGACTTTTTGAAAAGGACGTCAAAATGAAGGTAACAAAAGAGTAGCATAATTTTGCTGCAGCTTGATACATTTTACTCTTTCTCTAGCTCTTACTAATGACAGCAATTAAATTTATTAAATATACTGCCACGTCAGAACCCACGTCCTGTTTAGGGCAGTCACTCAGGCTGCAGTGATTGAGGGTGAGGAGCAGAAACCCAAGGACCTGATTTTTCCAGTTAAAGGATCACACTGTGCTCCACATCACGTCAAGCTGGGTCCTGCAGCCCCACATTCAGCCTCCAGGCTTGGGTCAGTGGGAAGGAAAACAGTCCTCAGAGGGGGAAGAGAAAATCCAACAGTTAGGAAGCTGGTATAGGAATGGGAAGGCGTGCTGTGAATTTAGTTACTCTGTCATGCATTTCCCCAGTGACCTTAAATGGGATTTAGAGCTGTGTGCTGAAAGCTGGTTATGGCATCAAAGGCAGCTCGGGACATCTAAATTCAATGTATGTGTCGCCTCCTGTATAGACTGTGTAGGGGAGAAGGAGGTTGTGGCACCTTAATTAGACGCCTGTGTCCACAGGTATGAGTGTGGCCCTCGCCTTTCCCCGCTGCTCACTCCTGGACGTGCTGACGTCCATCCCCGCCCACGCTGAAGAATCGCAAAGCTTTGGCAAGGGTTGAGCCTCTGCAAATTGTGACCATGACCTTGCGTATTTATTGTGTGCCAGGGAGCACAAGCCAGATAATAATTTCCACCCAGGGAAAGGACATGGTTTACAAAGAGCTCCATTCTCAGACAATGTTGTTTGAAGTGTGAAAAGGGCTCCCTGGAGGGAACTGCTGTGTTTACAACATTAAATCAAACTCTTATCAAGTTCGTCCCTGCACTCTATTTATTTTGGAGCACCACTGATACGGTATATGTGTGTGTATATGTATACACATGCATGTGTGTATGTGTTTGTATATATATATATGTATATATAGAAGAGTTATGATCATTCAGCATTATCCATTACAGCTAACTCCATGTTTCCTGTCATCATACTCAAGAGTATTTCCAAGCACTGTTTGGCCAGCACAGCATTTCAGTTGGCTGCCTTCAGTATGAAGCTTCAGAAGATAATGGTAGATGAAAGACTCTGTCCACCATCGTGGGCAGGCAGGATGCGAGAGACGTGCTTGCAGTATGCTAACACAGAACCATCCAAAAGGGTATTTACTGCTTTTGTCTTTGTTGGAGGTTCCTCTCAAGGCTTAGAAGTGGTATGGCCAGATAAATTGCTGTAATAGCTTTGAACCCAGATAGAAAGCTAAAATAAATTAGATAGTATGAAATAATATTTGATCATTAGATCATATTCCTCTCCTGTGCAGGGCCAGATTTGTTATGGTTCTTCATGAGAAATATCCTTCCTAGCTTCAGTGGAAATGTTTGTGATGGAGAGTAGTCAGATTGTGACCCTTGGTATCCAATTTTGTGTGTTGAGACACTTATCTGTTTACAACTGGATGTAAGACCAGCTTCAGGACAAAGTTCCCCACACCATCATCAGGATGTAGCTGCTTTCGGGTGAAAAGCAGCTGAAAAATGGAGAACTGGAGAGAAAAGTCAGGTGCCAGTTAGGCTAATCAGTCCTTGCCCGGTTCTGGGTGATGCTCAGCATGATAACAGATCATTTGCTTTGTTTTCTTTTTGTATACATGGGGGGTAGGTGGAAGTAATATCTTTTTCTGGGCCAACTGGTATAGCTGGTGAAAACAAGCTTCAGTGCTGACACAGTTAACTTCAATGTTAACTGTAAAGCCAAGAACTATTGCTCAGGGTTTGACTCACTATGCATCAGTTTGATCTTCTCGGAGACCAAAAATGGCTGTTTCTCCGGTAAAATTGAGCTGATCCCTGTGGGAAAAGGGTATATAGTGCAGAAGAGGGAGGAAGAAAGAAAGGTTCTAAGGGATTTTTGTCCTAAAAGGAAAAGCAAGGTGGTTTAGAGCGTGTAGACTTGGAGAGTTAGGGAAAGGTGGAAGGGCAATTATAACGTGCTCTAAAATGAGTATCCTGTTAAATTGCATGCATTATCTTCTCAGCATGGGAACTAAAGTTTGTGCTTAAGTGCATTCAGTATAGATGTGTTGATGCTCATGACACCCACCTCGGGGAGAGGGGTTTCTGTGCCCATTTTTCAATCTCTAACGCTTGATTGTATAAAAGATGTGAATTCTACGTGCTCACCTCCACCTCTCTTGCCTGTGTCCTTAAACCACCACGTCTCCAGCAAAACACCAGCAGAGAATGGATGATAAAATGTCTTTTCATTTTGCTAGAAGTAAAACCATACTACAAACACTATAATGCCGTGAGTATTTTATAAAAGTTTGAAGATCATCCAAGGCAAAAATACAGCCTAAAAGCAGAGTCCTCATGTTACAGCACTGCACCCTTAACAGGATAGTTCTTCAGAGGCGGCTTGGAGAGCGATCCCACACCCGGCTTTGGCAGCCAGGGCTGCGTTTTGAGCCACACTGTTCAGCATACCAGCACGTGTTTGAACGGATCCCACTGTGCTAAATGAGCCCCAGCACTGCTGTTAGTCTGATTAAAAACTGACATCCACAAGGTGCTAATGCTGCTGACGAGACCTTAGATGTAGGAGGGTCCCCGTCACTGCATTGTTCAAGGGCTTCACAGGGTCCATCCCCTTGTAAAGTAAACAACTACTATTCCCCCTATTTGGGAAACACCCAAATACTGAGACTGTTTTTCTGCAATTACCAGAATTGCATAGTGAACATAGAGTTAGTAGTGGTAGAAGGCAGTTTGTGAACTATTGGAACCAGCAGTTTCTTACTGAAACCACCAGCCTTACAGAAAATAATCCCTAAAGACAAATAAATATATAGCCTGTATTTGAGCTACACACCTAATGAAAGGTTTCATATAGCAAAAATGCATTTGCAAGTCTTTGTGGCAGAAAAGATCTTCTGGAAGAGCTGGCAAGAGTATCATACCCCAAAAACTTGTTCTGCGATGTTTCCCAAATAGAATTTGACAAGTGGGAAACATGATCTGTGCTTATACAGCTTGTTAACAAACTTGTTCATAAAGCAAAATGCTTCATTAGCTTTGGAGGAAAAATGTTCTTTGAAAATATAAGCAAATTCTTTCTTAGCAGCTTGGTCTTTTTCATCCGTTAATGAGCAGATATTTTGGCTTGTAGCTGCCCACATATTAAGTGTTCAGCTTAGTTTACTTCTGCAGATCTGTGGGATGACGGGCACTGCTCCCAGCTGGTCAGTGTTGAGGGTACCTGCCTTCAACAAGGACAAATCCTTGGGCAGAGCAGTCATTTTGGAGTGACAGGCTAGGAGTTTGTGTTTCCACTGGGAAACTCTGCTAGAGTCCATCTGGAATAGAGTGGAAGGAGAGTGGATGCCAATCTCCTCCAACACTTGTGCGCCTAAGCTAATGAGCTCGGCGGGGCAGGCAGGAGCTAGTTTTCTCAGGCTTCTTTCTGCTCAGCTCTTCGTGGAAGCGACCTGGAGACCGTCAGGGACTCTCCGTGTCACGTCATTTGAGTGGCAGCACAGGGACCCCGGAGAGGGTGTCAGGTGCCATTTGGGAGCCATGCCTTGCTCATGCTACCAGTTCTGTCTACTTGAGATAGAGGTTATGTGACGGTGGTGGTCAGACAATTCCCAGTTGGATGTGGGCTACCCTGAATGGGAACCCTACTCCTTCCTGCCCACAATCCTGCTGGCTCCAGTACTCCTGAATAACTCAATATAGGTCAGCTCAGTTGCAACAGGATGGGATTGATGGCTGTCCACTCTTGGGAGATGGGGGTTTAGCCCCTCATCCTCGTCCCAGGAATAAGTAGTTCCTCTCATCTCTCTGTCATCCTGGGTGAGTGTTGCCAGCAGGAAGGAGGGGAGCAGCTTGGAGAAGACCAGTCCCAGAGAGCACTTCTTAGATGCGCTGTTGACATGCAGGTAGAAAAAGCTGTACGCCCTTTGAGGAACAGGGTTACAGTTTGGAATGATGTGGGCAAAATGAAAAGAATTTCTCCAATTCGTGGGACACATAAATGGCAACAGCAGTCTGGGGTATGTAAGCAGAGTTTCGTCTTTTAAGAAACACAGAGGAATGCTGTTGTTCTGCTGCCTTAGTTGGAAAACAGTGAACTGTTAGGGTACCGGCCTCTAAGGAAGATGTGGACTCATTGGAGAAAGTCCAGGGAAGCTCACTAGATCAGAGGATTAGAAAATATGAGTTATGAAGAAACAGTGAAAGAATCAGTTTGTTTAGTCTAGCGAAAAGAAGACAGAGAGAATACATGATAACAGTCTTCAAATATGTGAAAGGATGCTTCAAAGACAAAGGGAATAAACTATTTTCCATCTTTTTTGGGAGGCAGTGGGGCATTGGAATAGATTGCCTGAGCAGTCTCCATCTTTTGGAGATCTTTAAGGACTGGTTAGCTAAATTTCTGTCAAAATTATTTTGACAGAACTGGGGTGGGACTAGATGACCGCTCAGTCCTCCAGACCCTCTGATTATTTTACTGGAGGTCCCCAGACTGGGAGGCTCTGGGCCTGATGGATTCTTCAATTTCTTACTCTTTTTTATTGTTAACTGACATTGGGTTTCTACACTGTGGCTAGAAACTGATTTCTGAAAATGTCACACACAACACAGGAGGAAATCTTTGCTTCCTGGCTTCATGTATATTAGATAGCACTAATTACCCCAGCACATGGCCCAACATCAGTTCACTGTGGTGCCTACTCTTCCAACAGATCTTGTGCCTTCAGAAGTTAAAAGAATCAATAAAATTCCCTCAAAATAATTGTGTTTACTAGAGATTTGAATGTGTCTTTATGTGTTCAAGAAACTGCAAGATCAGTTAAATTTTTAGGTTGAGCATTGTGCACCTTGTTGTTCGTGCAGCCTCTGCTGCTTTAGTGAGCGTCCATGTATCTGCTTTCCTGTAAATCTGTATTAATCACGATGAATGTCTATGTATGCTGCAGGGTGGCAGGAAAATCTCCAGCGCAAACAGAAATGAGACAGTTTGGAGTGGCTCTGGAAGCTGCTGCATGGCTGAGGCTAAAAGTAGTCTCAGCCTGTTGATGTTAAATCTTTAGATGTAAAGAAGAAGGAAAAAAAAAAAAGGTAGAATGTTTTCATCTAGGGCTGTAATGGTGATAGAAAGCAGCCACGCACCAAGAAAATAAGGTTGTACCTCTTTGTAGCTGCCAGACCTACAAGCCTTATCTACGCTTGCCTTTACTGCCCCAGATTTTCCACCGCTGCTGCCAGCAGAGACAGCAGTGGGAAGTTTGAACCCTCATGTGAATGAAATCATCATCACTGCAGGAGCAATCACACCTTGGACCAGCCAGGAAGAGAAGAAAACATATTCAAACAGATCTCCTAAAACGTGTCTTGTCTCTCCGTTTCAGGATCGCTGGTGATACCGCGCTCAACAAAAACATCCATGAGTCGGTCAGCGCTCAGATCCGGAAGAACTTTGCAAAAAGCAAATGGAGAGTAAGTGCCCCATCCTCAGGGACGACTCTTAGACACATAACTCCGCTAACGCGGCGGCCGTACGGCCACCCTTTCTGCACGCTAGTGCTTTTGTGCCTCAAAATTTTGGTCAAAATAGTTGGCCCAGTCTTTGGTTACGTGGGCTTGGGGGGCCTCTTAAGGAGGAGGCCACTAACCAAGTGTATGAACATGGTGAGTGTGAGCGGTGGGGCTGCTCATAGCTGCAGAGTTGGGGTCAGCACTGTGGGGGACGTGAAGCAATGTGGACACTCTGTGCTGGTGCAAGGATGTGTCTAATACGACTTTTCCCTGTGGGCTGCCACGTCCCAGCTGAGTGCTAGAAGGAGCAGTGGGGAGCAGGACCAGGGCAGAAATGCGTACGGTTTGTTATTGCTGTTTCTAGCCTAGAAAACTAGAAATTGGGAAAAGTTTGAAAGGTGATGGGCTCGTTCACTTCTAACAACTCTGAGCGGCCAGGAGAAAGTAACCCTTCCACCTCCCATTTTTTTTTATTCTCCCTTTCTTCCTTGGTTTTCTGCTCCAGCAAGCGTTTAACGCCACAGCGGTCGTGCGACACATGAGACGGTTACACCTTGGCAGCAGCCTGGACAGCGCCAGCGCCAGCGTCTCCAGCACCCTCAGCCTTGCCACGCCGCTTCCCGACGCAGCCACCCGGAAAGATTGTGAGTAGCCGACAGCCCGGCACAGCTCCCAACGTGGCGGCCGAGCAAATTCGCGGGATCCCCGTTTTCTCCTCAACCCCCAGGCTGCAGTCCTCCCCCTGCCTGTAGGTTTGGCTTTCTGCAAGCAGGTGTTAAAATAACGACTAAAAAGGGACTGAGACCTTCGTTTTTAGACAGCCAAAAAAATAACAATTCCATTGGAGAAGTTTATGCACTAAAAAAAAAAAGAGTTTTCAGCTCGGAGCATTTTTGAGAGAAAAACACTGTGGAGAATAAGGACTTTTGGTTGGGAAAAAGACCCAGACCCCCACAGCAAAAAAAAGTTTTGTATTTGGTTGAAAGCTGAAAAAGTTTACTCAAACTGTTTATGTTTGAGTTTCCAGTATTATGATAAGACATTTTTCTGTAAAAACTGGCTTGTTTTCCATTTCAGTTTTCCATGGGGGAGACTGATCCTGCCAGTCTGACCCAGCTTCCCTCTCCCTGGGCCAAATTAAGCTCCTGTACGAAGAGGCTCATTTGTCTGAGCAGGACTCTCGCTCTGTACCCCACAACGGGACTTGGCCCCCTGCCTTCTTTGTTATATGCCATAGTTGGGACCTTCAAGCTGTCTGATGGAGTCAGGTGCTGGGGATATATATTCTTCCAAATGCCAGGGAAGGAGACATGGCAGCAAAGGGATCGTTTGGAATACAGAAATTCATCCTTTGTAATGAAGCCTATTTAATCTCTGGCTTCTGAGCATTTCTTATATTTCTTTCTGTCCATCTGCAGAGATTTTTATATCGTGCAATGGAGGGTTGTGGATATTACAATTAGAGGAGATTATTTAAGGTGCATCGCACCTTAGATTAAAGAGGAATGCTAATAGCTGAGGGTTGCAAGGGCTTCCTTCCCTGGGGACTGAAGTGGTCATTTCTGCACTATACCCCACACTATTCTGGAACCGAAAGCACCTACCATTCAGGATGAATTTTGGATGGCACTGCTATCTGGCTCTGCTACCCTTGCTTGTCAACCTCTGCTCCTTGACAAGGACATGCCACCAGCAGCAGTCCCTGAGGCTCTGGATGGAAGCTGTGGTTTCTCTTGCTGTCATGGGCACACTTTCCCCTGCTGCTGGGGTGGGATCTGCCGTCTGGGTGCGGCATGAGATGTTTTCCCAGCCTGTGCCACAGCTGAGCCAGAGCAGACCCTTTTCTCTGATGGGAGTTCATGCCCAGTGCCCAGTTTGCAATGCCCAGAGCCAAATCCTACAGCTGCTGCTGAAAAGGCATCACTGTGCTCCTGGCACACATCTGGCACCTGCAAAGGAGCAATGCAGCGAGGTAGAAAACCCCTCACCGGGGAGAATCGCACCTTTATTTTGTTTCATGCCACACTGTGGCTAAGCTGGTCCCCAGTTACTTCTCGAGCATCTGATGGAATGCTTTGCTGTTAAACGGGTGGGTGATTAATCTCTGTCCATCCGTTTGATTCATCTCAAATGGTGTTAATTAATAGCATGGAGTAGTTTGAATAGTAACGTAAAAACATCTGTGAACAAGGAGGGTGGGAAGAGAACAAAGCCTGTTTGACTGCTACAGAACCCATGAGGTCTCTGTACAGAATCCGACCATACTGTGCAGTGATGGAGAAGTCAGCCAGGTTATGAAGGATAAAACCAGATGTGTTAAGAAAGGTGGAGTTTTTTCATGTCAAAACTACGAGTCAGAAAAGTATTGAAAGATTTCCAAGCATCCCAGGTTGAGTCCAGCTTGCCAGATAATACGGAAGAGCTTCCCTTCCTCAAAGAAATTAACTGAAGAGTTAGAAGGTGCTGGAACCCCAGAGAACCCGTGAGGAGAGCAGCAAATACAAGGAGTGACATTAAGAGGGAGCTGACATATCAAATGCACTCTACCAAATACCTCCTGTTGGGAAAAAGGAAACCTCTGAGGTCTCCCTCCTGCCTCTTTCTTTCTCACTGGTTTCCTCTGGGGACAGATTTCTTGCACGAGAAAGATCCCGTGCAGCAAGTTACATGAAACAGCTGTGCCACCATTGCAAAACATAATGCTGCCTAATGCTGTTAATAGATGTTTAATGAGCTCTTCAAATAGTTTCACATGCAGCAATTTCACATCATTGAAGACAATTAAATACAGCCTGAGAGTAGGTTGTGTCAGGCTACATCCTAATTCCGTTCCCTGTATTAGGGCAGAGTAGAGATGATGCATCAGGCTGGATTATGCTACCTGTCAGGGATGTCTAAGTGAATCAGTTGGGATTTCTCAAGTGTGTTGGCCTGATTCGCTGTCCGTGCCTGGTTCATTCTGTTTAGACATGATTGGACTGCCTAGATTAATTACAGCACCTAGGTCTCTGTATTTTTAAGATAATAGATAAATGGCAGCGTGAAGCCAAGATGTCAAATGTTGATACTGTTGGGAAACAGGATGTGGCCAAGTGTAATACAAGATAGTTATCCCTGAGGTTAAAATGCTACCTGGAAGCACAGAAAAGTAGGTAAAAGTCATAAAAAGCATCAAAAAGATCCTGAGTAGTCAAGGGGCCATACCAAACTCCAGTCTGAGAATATATTAATATAGGATTCACCCATCCTTTATTCACCAGGCTGGAAAAATGAACTGTGTTTCTAATAGCTCTGAGCCTGCATCTTGTCAGAACAAGGTGACCGTGCCAGGTCCCTGTTCAGCAGCTTTTCTTGCACCAGAACTGCCTTTGTGCATCGGTGCCTACAAGGCTGCCAAGCTGCATGGAGAGTTGCATGTGCTGGCAAAATCTGGGGATCTTCCCTGCAGGGTCTGAGCAGCTGCTGGTAGAGGGGCAGTTCATCCATGGAAAGCCCTGGCAAGGATATATTTTATTTCTCTTCATTAGTGCTTTCCACAGAAACTGCTGATGTGCTGGAACAGTAAAATCTTGAATCTGACATTCAAAACCCAGCCTGCTTTGGGTTTTCAGGGGTTATGCTTTGAGGGTTTTGGTTTTTAAAGCTGTGGTGGAGGGTTCACTGGAAGCAGAAACTTTCTATAAACATTTTAATTTAGCTAAAACCTCTTTTTTTGTAAAAAATACCATAGAATCACAGAATGGTTTGGGTTGGAAGGGACCTTAAAGACCATCTATTCCAACCCCCCTGCCATGGGCAGGGACACCTTCCACTAGACCAGGTTGCTCAAAGCCTCATCCAGCCTGGCCTTGAACACTTCCAGGGATGGGGCATCCACAGCTTCTCTGGGCACCCTGTTCCAGTGCCTCACCACCCTCTCCGGGAAGAACTTCTTCCTGATATCTAATCTAGAACTACCCTTTTTCAGTTTAAACCCATTACCCCTTGAGCTGTCAATACAGGCCTTTGTAAAAAGTACCCCCACAGCTTTCTTGTAGGCCATATCTGTCGGAAGTCTTTGATTAGTTCAAAAGGTACTTCCTGGTTAAATTTTGAGTTCAGCCTACATCAACCTACATCTCTTAGCTGGAAGCCCTGGAGACATACCGGCAAAACTGGAGCGACATAAGCTGTTGCTAGAATGATACCCAAGTCACACAAATTTACATTCCCTCTAGGTTTACTGCAACTCGCCAACAAATTTGACCCACTGCACTTTTTTATCAGCAGCTTTGCAGGATGCCTGGGGAAATTTTTTTAGTCCAGGTGCACAGTCTCTTCATTTAGCTAGATGGCCATGATGAGAAGTTTAATCATCTTTAACATGCCCATGAGGAAAATTATTCTGAGCAAGTACAATGCTGGAGGGATTTTTGAATCCCAGAACTCCTTGTCTTCAGCCCCCAAAAATGTGGAATAGCTCTGGTTGAACACATACCAAAGCTGGACATTTATTCATTGTGACATTTAACTGCCAGTGGTGGCAGTAGGTGCCGTGGGCCAGGAGGGCAGAAGATGCCCCGTGGAGGTACCCAACCAACCCACCGCTGCGGGAAGAGCAGGAGTGCCGTCTCCGGCTGCGGTCCTCTCCGCTCTGTAGCTTGCTACGGAAGAAACGCAGCTTTGCCCACATTCCCACCTCCAAAAATAACATTTCTAACTGTGTTTCTGGCTTTCCTTTTAGGTATGTCTCCATCCACTCTCTGTAGTTTTGTTTCATCTGCTTCTTCAGGCGTTTCTGCAGTAGGAGGGGACCGGAGACCCAGACCCACCACAGTGACCACAGTGCACACGGGGAGCAAGTGAGAGCCGGGGCGGCGAGGAGCGGGCAGGCGGCTGGGCTGGCAGGGTTCCTCTGTGCGATCCCACCCCGTGGTGCACGCTCAGCGAAGGACTAGAAGAAAGAAGATTTTTTTATGGCCATATTTTATACTGCAATTCTGAAATGTTTCATTTATCACAAACTGCAATGACTCCAGGGGGAACGGATCTAACAGTCTCTGGTGCTGTACATATATATACATATATATATAAATATATATATATATATGTGAGTCTAGCAATGTTCTAACTAATGAACACTTATTCTTTTCCCTAGTGATTTACTCTTTTCTCAGTGTAGGTAACAGTATATGTTGTATTTTTTTTTCCATTATCTATGAACATCTCAACTGGATTATTTAAATAGAGGTACTTTTCTGAGCATTATATTTTTTCTTCTTTTAAAAAGTACTTCCGGTCATGTCCCTCCTCCCACTTGGCTGGGGGATAGGCTCTTTCTGTAGGTAGGAATTGGTGTTAACTTTGCAACACGGGAGGATTTCAATGGCATGCCATTTCTCGCTCTTCAAATTGGACTGCAAGCCTGTCTGGCTTTAGCAGAACTGTTACAGCTCAGATTAAGAAACTGCTGTTTTACCTCCCCTCCTCCTCCTTGAAAGCCATGGCGAGAGTTAAATTGCCACCAGCTGGGGGTCAGCTCATCCTTGGCCTCATTCCTGTAGGGCTGGGGCTCTCCATCACCCCGCTTTCAGAGGAGAGGCTGGTACACGATACTGGTCAGGACCTGACCAGAGCTGAGCACACTAATTGACAGAGCACGGTCTCATCCTGCAGCTCCTGTCTCCTTGGATCGCTGTGTGTTAGGAGCAGAGTGAAAGAAAAGGAAGATGTGGGGCTGGGAGCTGTAGTTCTCCTCTGCCGCTGACTCGCCGTGCTGCCCTTGAGCAAGACATTAAATTCACCAGCCTCTTCCCAGCCTGGCCTCTGGCACGGGGTGCATCCAGCCCGAGGGCTCCATGCCAGAGATGCTGAGCACCTGCAGCTCCTCAGGGCTTTGCCTGGCGTTGCTGATGCTCAGCACCTCCCAGGGAGGCCAAAACTGAGGATCGAAAACCAAATAGAAAGTTTGGATCTTAACCTCTGCGTGTCTGGGTTTCACCCCTGGGGAGAGGGGTGATGTTTGCACCCCCCTGGGAAGCACTGGCAGGTTCTGGGGTGCAAAGTGCAGGATCTGGTGTAGGGTCGCTCCACCACTCTTAGCTCTGGCTGAGGGCTGGCGAGGAGCAGGGAGCTGGGAAAGCGGCCTCGCCCAAAGGCATGGGCACCTGCAGGGGCAGTGGTGGCACTGCCTCCCCCTCCTCCCCAGAAACGCCTATACAGAAGCAAACTCAATTTCCACATTTTTTTTATTACTAAATACATACACTCCCCAGGCTCTGCGTGCTGGTGCATCGTTTAGGAATAGCCGCGCTGAGTTCTGCAGCCGTGTGTCGAAGCAGCTTGCAATAGAGACGAGAGCCAATCCGCCCGGACCTGCCGAAGGGCTCCAGGTTACTTCCACACCCTTCCCAGCTGTGATTTTCCTTTGAGGAGGAGAGAAGGGAGGCGGGCAGCAGAGGCAGACACCCTTCCCTGGCTGCTGTGAGCCTCTTGCACCCCAGGCAAGTCCATCCCCAGCCAGAGGCACACGCCATTCCCCACAACGTGCTCTGTTGCCTCGCTCGCCTCATTTATCCTGCACACGAAATCATGGAAGCCAGTCACAGGCACAGCTGAATGCATCAGGCAGTAGTGACCGTGCTGGGAAAAGCTGTAAGATACGTATTTTTCATTGAGACTTCACAATCCTGCTTCAGCTTCAGTCAGTTGGCTTCGACTGTCAGATCTGGGATTTCATCCATCGTACTTTGAGCACAAAAAGCTGGAAAAGCAGGTGGCAGTGAGCACCGACTGTTTGAAATAGCCTCTCCTTTGGTGGCACTTAGAGCTGTTGCACCCGATAGATCTCTAGTTACCTCAGTATTAAGCTGCTCCCCATTTTCAGAGGGTTGTGGCACATCTGAGTGAAGCCCTGGGAGCCCCCGGTGCCCCTCACTGTGTTGCAGCTGGCATGGATGCTCACGCAGAAAGGCTTCAACTTCTCATTTTAGGAGAGATGCCAGATGTTGGTCTCTTGGGGATTGGTAGCAAAACTCCTTGTAATTTCCCCAGCGAGGGCTTATGAGCCAGATTTGGGCTGGCCGAAGGGCAGGGGATCTCCGTGCTGCCAGTCACGCTCCTGCCCCCATCCCCAGGCTGCTGCCACCATGTAGTCTTGCCCCACTGACAAAGAGGAGGAAGAGCTTTATCAGCGAGCCTCTTTATGTTTTGCTGCAAAGGTGTCTGAAAATGAGTATGATGCAATTCAGACTCATCTAAGGCCACTTCATTTTGCCAGCTGGAGTAAGGAAGCCTTAGTTTAGGAGAGACTCCTATCCCAAGAAATTCAAGTTATTTGGAACCCACATAAGCTCAGCTGGGCTATTCTGCTCCAGTTGCTTGGATGTAAACAGGCAGTGCCCGGGGTTGGAGCTCCCCACGTTCACACACATGCAACCAAAAGCAGGATTTGTACAGTTGTTTCAGCTGGGCTCAAGCGTTCCCTCTTTGCCTTCTCTTCTGGAACGTGAGGTCTGGTTTGAACTTGGTGCAGTTGCTGAGGCCACTGATTGAAATACAGCATCCAAACGTATCTTGCAGAAAAAAAAAAAAAAGAGCAAAGCAAATGTATTTTCATCTGCAGAGCAAAGAGCAGGGAGGGCAGCAAAGGCAGACAGGCTGCCCTGCAGCTGGGGGTGTCCCGTGCACTGCCTGCCCCTCCTTGCTGGAAGCTTTCTGCAGTTTTTCTTCTGAGGGGTATGCTTTCCTTCCACACTTGGAATTAGGGTGATTCGGTTTCCTTCCTGCAAATAATATTTTGCCATAGCTGTGTAATTTATCGCCATTCTCTGGCTTGCTGTCAGCTGCTGGGATCTTAAGACGAGGAACAGAAGCACTTAAAAGCTCAATTGTTTCTTTCTGCTACGATCTTGGATGGTGGGAAGCTCTTTTTTTGTACCAGGGAAACACAGCTGGAGACTGACTGGGGGGGGTCACCACGTGCTTAGAGATCTCTCGTCACCCAGTCCTGCAGTATCTCTCGATTGAAACATCTCAGTTTAAATCTGGGTAAATCTGTTAATGGGATGACTTAGCAGCACCCAGGCCAGATTTATGGAGAGGGCTGGAGCTGTTTGCCCCTCGGCAGCGCAGCCTGGTACGGCAGACGCACCAGCATCGCTTGTTGGGGATGCTCCAGTGCCATTGCATGTCCTTCCCCTACCCCAACCCGCCTCTGCTCAGGCACTCGCAGATGAGTGCAAACCCAGGAGTAAACAATGTGTGCGTGTGGGGAAAGCGCCAGTAGCCCCAAAGTACAAGAGTCAAAACAGATCTCTGCCTGGTCTTGCCCTGAAGGAGCAGGTAGAAACATCGCTCTGGGCTCTTTTCCAGTGGACTGTCCTACTACACTATGTGTGATTTGCCCCTCACCTGAGGACTTCAGCCTGGAGTCACCTGTCTGTTACCCTTTTCTGCTTTACTTTACTGGCACCGATATGTTTTTCCTTTGTAACTTGTTTTCCTCAGCTCCTTCCCCTTCTTTTTCTTTGCTTGCAGCTTTGATTGTTGATTTTTACCTCCAGAGTCACAGAGGCCATCTCTGATGCCAACAGCAGTGATCCTGCTGGGAAAGCAAAACAAAATACAATCCAGAAAACCTCCAGCTGGCCCCTTAGCCTGCAGAAGAAGTTGTGAGGACAGGCTGCCTGTGAACTCTGCGAGCTGAAAGTCAGTATTGCAGTGGCAGGGGCTTCTGCTGCTGATTTTGCATGTGACTTCATTCTCAGTGCATCCTAACTGTCTGCTGGATCACCCCTTCCGCAGCACGAAATGGATATGGGCCCCGCGGCACGGCTAGTGGGGGAAGTAGGAATACGGGGAAAACCTGGCAGCGATGCTTTCCTGAGGTTGTGTTACTCTGCTGGTGATGTCTCTTCTGTCCTGGTTGCTGTTGTGCAGGTGCCGTTAGAGTAATGGGTGCAGAAAAACCAGTAGGATTTTTACCTATGCCTTGTGTGTCTGTTACGGTTGTGGTGCTGAAATAAAAACAAGCAATGATAGAGGTTCCTGACATGAATCAAACCACAAAAAGGGGTGTTGCCCACTGGTAGACATCTCCATGTGGGTCTGCAGTAGGCATTGGATAGGGGTTTCTGCTCAGCATGTCCCCTGCATACCTCCATGGCTACTGACAGTATTTTTTTCTATAACCACTTCTCTTACTTCTGGGCTCCTGCCCGGCCCTCGCCAACACAGCCCCTGATCTCTGGCTTTTGTCCCCAAACCCTCTGCAAACCAGAGCGTGGACCTCCAAGGTGCCCAAGAAACGCAGCGGTAGCTGGTCCCGAGGCTGCCCCTTCCTTAAGCGTGACCCTGTTTTTAGGGAAACGAGCTCTCGGGGAAAGCCAGATAGCTTTTAGTCACTGGTAGGCAGGCTGAATATCGTCCTTCGATGCGAATTTGGCATTAACTAGATCAGACACAGGGAAACCCTGTGCTGTTATTTCCCTCTGTAGTAACCGCTCCAGCCCTGAGCAGCGCAGGGTGAGCACCGCATAAAAACACCGGATCGACTTTGCCAACAAGATCGTGCAGGGGGTAGCCTGTTGCTCTTTCCAAAGAGTCGGTGGATTCACCTACTGGCAAAATAACAGTTTTGAGACTGAGCCCTGAGGTACAGAAGTATCAGCATATGGAAATTCCCATTTAATGGGATTACTTGCATTCTTGCTCCCATGCATATTTATCCATTTGAATTGGGGCCTGAATGCATCCCAGAAATTATTCATGGGAAGGGAGTTTTGCCTTCGTTATCATGCTTACTTGCACCAGAAACTTGATGCGAAGAGTTACACTCATTCAAGCAAAAAGCAGAAACGCACACAGAGACCATGGTATCCAAGGAAAACAGCATCAAAACCAAGCGTGGAGGATTAGTTGGCAAACCACTGTCGGCAGTGGCTGAGTGAGGAAATGGCAACCTGCTCACGAACGTCGCTCTGAGTTTCCCCTGGTAAATCAGTTATTCCGTATTTCTTGCCCAGCAGCCAGTTTTACTCAATCCCACTCGTTTTTCCCCTCATCCCTGCAGCGGGGTCCTGCCTTCCCATCCTGTCTGTCGGGGTGGTCTAGTCTCCGTGACACACGTGTGTGTGTGTGTGCGTATTGTGGCCCTGGGGATCTCAGATCCCACCGATGGGAGATCAGGAGCTGGTT